AGATGATGTGTGCACCAGCCTGAAAGAGGAGCAGGACTTGCTAATAGAGATGGCAGAGGCCACCCCAGGGGGGACAAGGGCAGAGGCAAAGGCCTGGAGGAGGGGTCAGGGCTTGCCCCCTGGTTTGGTGGGGAACAGACTTTGGATAGTTCCAGCCTGAAGGCAAAAAAAGTGACTGGCTTCCTGGGATGAATAGATCTGGGATGGCCTCACCAAGGAAGGGGATCTCCTACTGAGTCCTAAAGAATGATGGGGAAAATTAGAGCATGACCTTCCCACCAGAGGGAATAGCATGTGTAAAATCCTCAGAAATGGAATGTCTGTGCCATTCACAGAGAAAGTATTCTAGGGATGCAATGAGCCAGAATCCCTGCTGGGGGTGCAGACAGTACATATACCAGTAGGTGTTGTATAAAATGAGAAGGAGGGAAAAACAGCATCTGGGATAGTGGGAATGCTGGGGAGGGATTGTTAATTAGATAAGGGTGTCACTTCATAGGTGGTACTTGAATGTGGCAGAGAGAAGGGAGCAAACCTTGGTCCATCTGCAGATAGGGTGACAAAGGCCAGGAGGCAGGTGCATGCACAGGGTGCATGAGGAGCCCACGTGATTGGCTCAGTTGTGACAGGATTCTTCTGGTTTGCTGCCCAGAGTCACTGCTGAGGAAACTGAGGAAGGGACCTGGATGGATAAAGCACAAGACTGTGGCAATCCTATTAGATGCCCTGGCCAGTTCCTGCCACTGTAGCTGAAGAACATGGTGTTTCTCACACTGCTGCCACCATGAGGCTTCTCAGCCTCAACTGGTGCTTATGCGTCATACACCATATAGACTGCTGATGTCACCCTTTCTTGTAAATCAACTGGAAGCTTTCTTCCTTTATTTTTTTAAAGATTTAAATTATTTATTTATGCATATAAGAGCTGGGGTATAGGCCAGAGGTGCAGGGAGTTGAGAGGATTCACCAGAGACAGTAGGGAGCAGAACAGGCAGATCTACTGAAATCTACTGCTGAGGGGAGTAGCAGGGAGGCAGGAGAGGTCTGCTGTGCCTTGTGAGTTAGCTCCCTAGCTGGGATTGAACTTGTGTTCCAGTGGCTCCCTTAGTTTCACAGTGCTGAGACTTAACCCCTTGTGCCACTAGGGAAGGCCCTTCTTCCTTTTTTTGAATCTAAACTTGTCTCAGACATGTCCTACTTGCCTGTTAAATAACAGTGTTAAGTATTTTTAATTCACTTAAGTAGGCATTTATATATAAACCTACATATACTTGTTCAAATGTTTAGCTCCCTAGAATGACCCTCTGGTGGTTTTTACCCATATTTAGCTTTTCTTGTTAGCTAGTGACTCATGCTAGTCTTTCTGTGCCTTGATTTCATCATTTGTCAAGGATAATAATACAGTCCCTCAAAGGGTAGTTATAAGGATTCGATGAGTTAATATGTAAGAACAGGACTTATAAAATAGCAGTGGAAACTGTTGTTGTTTTTATCATTAGTAAACTCCTAAATGGCAGCTTTTGCAAGGCTTTCATTTGCTTGCTGCATAGATGCTGCACCTCTCTTGTAGGGACCCATCTTTGGGGAAGGACAGGCTTGTGCCCAAGTTCCCTTCCCAGACTATGGCTCATGGCAGGCACAACCAGGCAGGACCCTCTGTCTTCTGATGCCACTGTCTTTTTCCCCTTCTGTACCCTCCAGGCCCCGAGCACTCCTCTGACTCCGAATACACTCTCTCAGAGCCAGACTCCGAAGAGGAAGAAGATGAGGAGGAGGAGGAAGAGGAGACCACAGATGATCCCGAATATGACCCTGGCTACAAGGTGAAGCAGCGCCTGGGGGGGGGCCGGGGAGGCCCTTCCCGTCGGGCCCCCCGTGCAGCCCAGGCCCCGGGCCCCCCAGCCCAGCCCTGCCAGCTCTGTGGCCGCTCACCCCTTGGGGAGGCCCCTCCAGGCACCCCACCTTGCCGGCTCTGCTGCCCTGCTACAGCCCCCCAGGAAGCACCAGCCCCTGAAGGCAGGGCTCTTGGGGAGGAAGAGGAGGAGCCGCCTCGGGCTGGGGAGGGTCGACCAGCTGGGAGGGAGGAAGAGGAGGAGGAGGAGGAGGAAGGCACCTACCAGTGTACTGAGTGTGAGGATTCCTTCGACAACCTTGGGGAGCTGCATGGCCACTTCATGCTGCATGCCCGGGGGGAGGTATAGGAAGAGCCCCTGAGCCAGGGAGCTTGGCTGAAGGAGTGGGGTGGGAGCAAGGGGCTGAGGAAATTGGGGTGTTTCACGGTGGTCTTGGGGGTTGGGATACCTGTGTCGTCTTAGAGTAGATGTGTGAAGGCCAGAATAAAAGCCAAATTCTGTGTGTTGGTCCAGTGTGTGTTTGGGGTGTGTGTGTATCTGTATGTGCGCTTGTGTGTATGAGCTATATACTCCTGGGCATTTATCCCACCAACCCCCTGGGTCCTTGAGAGGATTTGAGTCATTGTTGCCAGTATCATTAACATTTACTAAATGATTCCTGTATTTATTCATAGATCCCATAATGTAAAGATTCAAACAAAGGAGTTTTGTTTCTTGCTCACATAACAGTCCATGTGGGTGTCTCAGGGTGGGGGAAACCCTTCTTCAGAGGTAGGTCAGGGCCCTAGGCCATCACTTCAGCCTCCTGCTGTCCACATGGTTCTGGAGGGCTGGTGGTGCCCGGCAGGAGTGCCTGGGAGCAGCACTCTTATAAGGTCCTCTGACCAGCCAGGACCGGAGTGGCCCGACTGCTTCCACTTAGGTTCCTTTGCCAATAACCTAGTCAGGTGTCCTAGCTCACTGCAAGGCGTCTGGGTGGGCAGCTTAGCCAAGCACCCAGAAGCAGGAAAGGTTTTGTGGAGTACAGCTCATGTTCTCTGCCACTTTGCCTAAGAACTGTCATAAAGAGGACTTTAATTATAATCATAGCTTTGCCTCCTGAGTGCCAAGCGCCAGTCTCAGAGCTTTATATATATTGACTTGGAGAAGTACATCTAGGAACTTACGAAAATAGAACCTTAATTATAATCACAGCTGCCGTTTTCCTAGCACTCAGAGAACGTTGCACTTTATGTGCAATGAGATCATTGGGCCTCACAAGAACTCGGTGAGGTAGGGACTGTGATCCATTAAATCACTTAACAAATACCTTTTGAGGCCCTGCTGTGTGCAAAACATAGGGACTACACCAGGGAATAAAATAAAATCCTTGTCCTCACAGTACATATGGGGTGGGAGGGTGCAGACAGTAAACAAGATGTACCGTCTGCTGGGTGGTGGTAAATGCTGTGGAGAAAAATAAAAGAGAAATGGAAGAGGGGTGTAGTTTTAACTAATGTAGTCCTCTCTTAGAGGGATTAAGCAGAGATCTGAAGTGGGGAGCACGTATCCATCCATGGGAGGAGTGATCCAGGCAGGAGGTGGCAGGAGCCTGCCAAGTGCCAAGTAGGCCAGAGTCGCGGGGCATGGGCAGGAGGTTAGGGCAGGCAATACTATAAGGATGAGGTCAGAGAGGAGCTAACAGAGGACTGTTCATTAGTCTTGAAACCTTGAAACTTGGGCTCTCTCTTTCTCCTAATTCACAGAAGTTTGTTTCTGCAGTTCCTTTGAAAACAGATGCCTAATTATAATGACAGCTACCATTTACCATGCATCACCTATATGCCATGTTCTGTTCTGATGCGCTTTACTTGTGGTAACTCACAGAAGCTTGGCAACTAAGAAGAGCCTTTAAGAATAAACCTGAATTACTGTAATGGCCATCATTAAATTAGTGCTCACAGTGGACCAGGCTAAGCACACTATAAGGACAGTTGCTTGGGGTCGAAATGAGATAGAGACTGTTACTTTTTTGCACATTCATTCAATAGGGATTTGTAGAGCATCTACAAATCTGGAAGCTGAGAATGGAGCAGTAAGTATGATGAACAAAAAAAAAATCCCTGCACTGGTGGAGGTTATAGTATTATGGAGAAAATAGATAGGTGTTTAAAATTTCCATATAATCTCGAGACTGTTGGGAGGTAATGTGTACTGTAGAGGAAAGGGGAGTGGGGGAGCAATTAGATAGGTCAGAAAAAAGTTCACCAAGAAAGGGCAATACCTGAGCAAACACCTGGAGGAGGGGAGCAAGCCCCTGTGACTATGGGAACATTAAGTATAAAGCCCCTGAGGAGGAAGCCTGTTGGAATGTTTGTGGAAGAACACACAGGGGTCACAAGGCAGTTGTCGCAGAAGGCAAGGGAAGACTGCTAAGAGGTCAGAGAGGTGCGAGGACCAGGCTGTGTAGGCCATTAAACTGACAATACTTTTCTCTGCAAGAGAAGGTAGGGCTGATAGCTTGACTATTTCACAACTGCTACCACTGGGCACATAGAGACTGTGTTCCCAGCTAGAGGTCACAACTAGTAAGAAGTAGAACCTATGTTTGAATGTAGACAGCTAATGAAGGGCACTTTCTCTTAGCCACTAAGCCACACACCAGAAATGGCAGATTGGCCATGGCCACCATCTGACTGCAGGAGTGTATTTTGTCTCCAGAGGTGAGATTTTTTTAATCACATTTAAAAGTGGGAAGATTTCAAAGAAAAATGGAGGTTTCTCACTTCCCAGGAAATTGTGAGCTCTGGATTGCTGAAACCACAACCCCATGGGATTTGTACACGTCATATGTATTTAGGGATTCCCACATGTGCTGTTGTCCCCATTCCCTGCAGCCTGGTATCTGGACCAATCCTAACACCCTGCTTGCTTCATTTACGTACCTGCTTGACCCCCAAGGAGATACTTATTTTCTTACATCTTTGTTAGTTTTTGGATAGTACTTGATTTCTCTCCTCAGGTGTTGTTTCTGTGGTTCTACCGATATTTGCATTTTTGATGCCTGTTATAGTAGCCTAAACGAAAGCATTTTTCAAAACCAACTTTTTATCCTAGAATTTCAATCTCAGAAACCTGACATTTCTCCAACTCTTTGAGGTGAGACTTTCATACTTGGCCTAGCAAAATCAGACATTCACAGCAGTCAGATGGCTTTTGTTTCCCAGAGTGACATGTCTGAGCTCTTCTCTGCCCTGAGAGGGCTTTCTAAGCACAAATGGAGAGAGTTGTGCACCCATTGGCAAAATGTTCTAATGATCATGAGAGACACTGGGATCAAGAGACCTGGTTTGTTGCCATTCAGGTCATTCATTTATTCATGCCCAGTCAGGATATGATAACCAAGCCAGGGATTCCAAGAAGATTCAATACAGGGAATTAGCTACACAGGTGTTAGAAGGCTGAAAGCAAAAACTTGGAAAAGTGGTGTCCAGAAATTAATTATATACAAGAAGCTCCCACCTCTCAAAACTGGGATATAAAAAAAGGGAAGTGAGATGACCATGATCCAACAGGAGCTTTGAGGTAGGAGGCAGAGCAGTTAGGAAACTTAAGGCTGGGATAAGAAGTAGTAAGGCTCAGGAATTCAGATGTAGATCTGGGGTTTAACTAATAACACAGCAGTTGTGTTATTGAGGGGGCTGCCGAGTCATGTTGACCCATTTTGAAATTCCATTTGTCATCCAAGTGGCTGTTTTTCATGGAGGAAGTCTGGGGTTTGTAATGAAGATAAAGATTTGGAAGTCATCAGGGGTGCTATTTAAAGTATTAGAAATCTATGACATCTGGAGAGGAGGAAACTAAGTGTTCTAGGGCAGGCTGCTCTCTGTATTGGGAGCATGTATGAGATTAGATAATCAAGTTTCATATTGGGGAACCTTTTTGGGAGTGGTGGGAAACATCTGGGTCAGAAACTTTGGTGCTTTCACCTGAAGTCACAGGAAATAATTTGGCTTTGAGGTTGATATTTTAGGAAAAAATTATGACAGGTGACTCCATAAACCATTTTTCTCATCAGTCACTCCAGCAGAGGTGTAAGGTGTGACCCTTCCCCAAATCTCTCTCTCCCTCCCCACCCCTTTCCCTTGCTAGAGGTAGTATCCTCCTACTTCCACGCTCAGAGTGGGTTTGTGTCTATCAGTTAGACAGGGATTGGCTAACTTATTGTAAAGGGCCAGATGGTAACTATTTTAGGCTTTGGACCATACTAAAGTCCACTGTTCTACATGAAAGCAGTCATAGACTGCTGTACGTAGACTGTACGTAAGTGAATGAGCATCACTGTTCTAGTAAAACTTTATTTGCAAAACCAGGTGGGGGTGCATAGTTTTCAGGCCCCCACTTTAGTTGCAAATTCTTTGATAGACCCAAAGTAAATGCTTAAGTAAGATAGAGGTTTACTTTTCTCTTATAAAACAGTGTGGAAGTGGATATATCCTAGGGCTGATATGGAGGCTTCCACTCTCTGATGTTGACCAGAGACCCAGGCTGCTTCTGTATTATTGCTTCATCCCATGTGTTGCTCTCATGGTCCAACTCACGGACATGGTTGGAACGTTCACATTCCAGGCAGGAAGACAAGAAAAGCATGTCCCTTTCTGAAGCTTGAGGACTCTACGCAGGAATTCAGCCAGTACTTAGTCACATGGCCATATCTAAATGCAAGGGAATCTGAGAAATGTAGTTTCTGTAGCAACTATGAGCTTAGCTAAAAATGAGGCATTAGCTATCACTCTCTGCCACATCCATCTCACCTATGGGCTTTAAAAATAGCCTTCAGTCTAAAAAAAAAAAAAAAGCCTTCAGTCTAACTAGCCTCTGATTATTGTATGTAGGGCATCAACCATTATCTCTAGGGAAAGGGCAGGTAGTCAAGGGAGGAAAGATGGCCTGGTGGGACTAGTTTCCAGTCTGATGGAAATACCCAATGCTCAGCCTTAGCTTGCTGTAGCTTCTGCTTTGCTACTATAGATAATAGAAACCCAGGGTTGTGCCTTTCAGGAGAGTGAAAACAGGATCTTCCTGGGAAGTCTCCAATGTAGGCCAAGTGCAACAGGAAACAGAAGGTATCTCTGTTTGATTCCAAGCCAGTTTCTCCACAGGGCCAGGCCAGCTCTGCCCAGAGCTTCCTTGCTCCCTGTGCCCTTCGTATGTTCCGTGGGGACGCATGCTCGAAAACAGAGATCCCTGTATATTTTAATATAGACCTACTGGGGTTCTATGTGTTAATATATCAACTTTATTTTTTTTAATTATGATAAAATATATTAAAAATGCAAGGAAATTTACCAGAACATTAACAATGGTTATTTCAGCATGGGTAATTTTTTTTTTTTTGGAGCACAGCAGGCATTGTTGTTTATCTTTTACTTACACCTTTTCTGTTTTTAGATACTATTTCTGTTAGTTTATTCATGCCCTCTCACCTACATATATATAAAAAAAAATAGTCCATGACCAGACTAGTACACAAAATTATTTAAATTAGCAATAAATTTTCTGAAGGGCCCAATGTCCTGGCCCCTCCTTGAGTAGGAAAGGCTGGTGGTGTTGGGGATTAGGGGGACAGGGACAGAAACTGCAACTCCCAGTGGATCAGAGTACAACTCCCAACTTTGCTGCCCCAAAGGCACAAGTTGTTTCACATCTGGGACCCATAGTTGGCATTACAGACCAACAACACCTTGCTTTCCCTGCTCCCTCAGGCACAGAGCCAGGACAATTTGCTTCCGTAGCCCATGGCATCCATCTGGGAAGAATTAAAGGTGATTACACAATCTGTAGCTAGTTGTAATTTCGACTATTTAATTGGGAATGAGGGAGATACAAAGAACAATTTTCCCTCTCTTTTTCACTCATTTTTTGAAAACAAAAGATCTCACTATTGTCAAAGTTTCCCTGAAGGCCTCTGTGTCCTCCAAAAACTGAAGCACAAAAAAGCATTATCAGGAGCCCTTTGCTTTTCCATGGAGAGAAGCAAATCTCAAGGTTTCCATCCCATATCACAGGAGGACCCCACCAGCCAGTCTCCATTGTCCCAGGCAAGACTTAAGCCCCACTCAGAGCTCCCCCCGGGCATGCCGGATGTAGTGTTGATGCAGCCCCGCTTCCTGGGCAAAGTCCTGGCCACACTCAGTGCAAGCAAAGGGGCCAGGTGGGGTGCAAGCCTGGTGTGCCTGGCGGTGCCGCCTCAGGGAAGCAGCCTGCCCAAAGCTCTTACCACAGTCAGGACAGGGAAAGGTGGGCTGGGCAGAGGTAGGTGTGGCTGGCAGGGAGGGCCTGGTAAGTGGACCATGGCTGCGCTGGTGGGCGATCAGGGCCTTGGAGCAGGGGAAGGATCTGGCGCAGGTGAAACAGATGAAGAGGGCCCCCTGCAGTTTCTGAGCCACGAAGTCCGCTGGGTGTTCCCGCTTCAGGTGACGCTCCTGGAACTTGGAATCAGCGAAGGTGATGAGGCAGCGAGTGCACTGCAGGGCCCCCAGGTGGCCTGAGGGATGTGGGGAGAGGTCGGGGGAGGCCCTAGGAGTCTCCAGGACCTCTCCTAAGCTCCAGAATCATGTCAACAACTAATAGTGCTTAGTATGTGCATAGCTCAGTAGTGCTGAACAGTACAGGCAAGCTATTACTGGAGCCATTTTATAAACGAGCAGTTGGAGGTTCAAGAGGTTAGACAACTTGCCCACAATAACAAGGCCAGGAAATGACACATGGGGATCAGAATTGGAACCCAGGGTCTGCAGAGTTTATAAATAAAGCACAGCCTTTGGAGCCCGACTGCCTATAATCCTGCTGTTATATGTCAAAGTGGCTACTTTTACCAATAGCAAGCTTTCCCCTTTTGTAGAACAGGGAAACAGACCCAAAGGAAGGACAAGTTTCCTTAGTTGGCACATGAAATAGCAACTGACAGTATCTACTTCACAGAGTTGTTGGAATTAACTTGTATAAAGTGCTTTAGAACAGTGTTATAAAATGGCTTGCAATTGCTATCCAGAAAAAGGAAAGCCCCTGACATCTGGGAGCAGGCCTGGTACTCAGCGATATTGAGCATCAAGTTTATTGAGTACTGTCACAGAAGGCCACACTATTACGAGTAAATCAAGACAAGACCACACCATAGTAATATCTGAACGCGGACAAGATGTGGGCATTGTCCAAGCCACAAAAGTGACCGAACAACCCCCTGACTGGCAGCTGCTATTGCTTCATCTTTTCCACCCCTGATTTTAACCTCGTTCCTTCTTCCTAGATGTATTAAGATGGCCAACCACACAGTTGCTTCTGCTTCCTGGCAGCATCCAATCTAGAGCAAAGCCCCTCTTCCTTGAAACCTTCCCCACATTACAAGCCCAAAACCTTTCATAAGCCCTGACCCTCTCATTGACATTCCCCTGGTTCCCCCATGTTATCTGTGCTTCCCTAGGGCAATGAGTAATAAATCCAACTTGTTAACTACAGGTGTGCTCCTGCTGATCTTTGGCTGCAGGCGTGGGTGCTGTGGCCCTTACTGTTAAGCGACAATCTCTCTGCCTCCGTTCCCCCATCTGAAGGTGAAAGAACCAATTCCACAGAATCTGTTACGACTGAATTAAATAATGAATGTTAGACTCTTATAAAACACCTCCAACACATAATAAACATTCCATAAAGGCTGTTGTATGTCAAAGTGCTACCTTCAAAAACGGCAAGCGTTCCCCTTTTGAAGAACAGGGAAACAGATCCAAGTAACTCAAGCCTGAGGCAGAGTTGGGACCAGAACCCCTGGACTGCTATAGATGTCTGCCCTTTCCCACCCCAGTCCTCTGGATGCCACTCTTTGAACTGCATACCATTCCTGCTTATGTGGACAGAGCTGAGTGGGTATATCCAAGTCTAGTGAAAGTTATGGCTGGGGAATGGCTGTTCATGGGAGGGCAGCGCAGACATGGGAGGGCAGTGCAGAGGCCATTACAGCCCCTTCCCAACAAGCAAGTCCCTGTAACATTTTGGATGTTGGAATGCTAGAGAAATCCTTTTAGCATCAACTTCTGCACCCCACCCTCCACTGGCCAGCAGTACTCACAGATGTTGCCTCCTGGACTGCGGGGATTCCTCTCCTTGGATGAATCCTGCTGTTCCCTGGTCTCTTCCCGGTGTGCACCTTCCATGGTGACTGGGACTCTAATCGAGAGAGGAGCACGCAAAATAGAATAATAAATGAAGTCATCTGTTGCCAGCCTTAGTGGAGCCTCTGGTCCTGTGACCTGTGATAGAGAGGCTTTCCTGCCAGACCTCACACCTTTGGTGCCCCCCTCAAGAGATACCATCTTGAATTCTAATACTAGAGAAGGTTCGACACCCCCCCCCCGCCGAACTTCCTAGGGTTGTGACTCCTCTTGGAGCCTTCTCACCTGTATGACACCTATGATCTAAGTCAAACTTGCTGAACTGAGCGCTGGGCCCTTGATCTTTGGCACCATCATCCCCTTTTCTCACATGTCTTGTGGCAGGTAGTGGTACCCAGATTTTTTAGCCAGCCTCTTCCAGGGAGCGAGCCTTCTCTAACTCTTCCACCCAGAGTCCCAGCCTCCCACGCACGCCTTCAGTCGCTGTGTCCCGTTGCCCTAAGCACTGCCCTCGAGTCCCTGCTCCCGGGGCAGCCAGCGCAGGCCTTTTTTTTTTTTTCTACCGACAGCAGAGCGCTGGCTGCCTTTCGTCGCGCGGGCCAGTCGCCGGTCACAGCGCCGCCACCTGGAGGGAAGCGGGTTAAGCGCACTGAATCTCTGGGTCCCAGTGGTTTCCACACCCTTTTGCCTGACGAGCCTCTCGGGGCCGAGAACCCGGATTGCTATCCGGCAGTGATTTAGTCGTGCCCTCCCGGTCCTCAAAATAACGAGAGGGTCCTTCTCTAAATCAGGTCGCGTTATGATGACGTCAAAGCCACCTGTGCCGGAGTCCTCAGCGCTGTAGGTAGTTGCCCCTAGTGCGCAGGCGCCTGGGCTCCCTATTGTTCTAGCTGGACAGCAGCGGAGGTACTAGAGCGAGCGTTCCACGCCGTACTGCGCAGGCGCTGCGAAGGGCTGTGTGCCACTAGATCTTGCATCTAAGACACACCCACTCCTAAGAGCACTGACGTCAGATTAGAGCCCCCGGAACGTGCCAAGAAGACCCCAGATCCCAGCTCTCTAGCCTCATCGGCCTCCATCCGTCCGACCCCAAGGGCGGGGCTTCTTTAGCGGGCGAGTCAGCAGCCACCAACCGCTCTGCGGTGCATCTGCTGTTTTGCTCGGTGGGTGATTTCGAAGGGAAGGAGAGAGGATAAAAACCTCTGTGCCCCTAAGGGAGGAAGGGACTCGATCCCGGATTTCTGTTTTTGAAGACGAGAAAGGACTTCGGGGTCCCTGAGGAATAGGACCCGGGCGCCAGATTTTCTACGTCCTGGGGAGTGACATCCGAGACTGGAAGAAGGGGACCAGGTGGAGGACTGTAGTCTGATACCAGGGAGAGGCGGCTCGGAAAGAAAAAGACTTGGTGCTCTCTGACAAAGGTCTTTCTGACCCCCTTTTTTTGCAGCTATGCCTACGCCACGAGGTGATGTGACTGCCTTATTTTTGGGGCCCCCGGGCTCAGGAAAGTCCGCATTGATCTCAGCGCTGTGCAACAATGATGTGGAGACAGTTGAGATCCCCGAAGGACGGCCGGACTCCGGGCTTCCTAGCCTGCGAGCTGCGGGGCCAGGTCTCTTCTTGGGAGAGCTGAGTTGCCCACCAGCAGCGCCGGGGCCGTGGGCAGCCGAGGCCAACGTGCTGGTACTGGTGCTGCCAGACCCCGAGGGTAACGCAGAGCCCCTAGCCCCGGCGCTAGGGGAGGCAGCGCGGTCAGCCCTGGCTCGGGGGACCCCACTGTTAGCTGTGCGGAATCTCCGTCCTGGGGATTCACAGAATGAAGCCCAGGCCCGGGACCAGACAACGGCCCTTCTGGAGAGCGCGGGGCTGGGAGCCGCGGCTCTATTCGTGTTGCAGGCGGACTGTAGCAGCAGCAGTGCCGGCTGTGAGGAGCTGGAGCGCCTGCGGGCTGCGCTGCGGAGCCGGGCGGAGCCGCTGCAGAGGTGAGTGTTTTTGATGAGCTGGGGAGGCCTGGTCCTTTAGACTAGATGCTCTTGGGGTACACAGACTCCGCCCCTAAGGAATTGGAGGCAAACCTTAACAATGTATCTGCGGGAGACCGGGCTCCCTTATCCAGGTTACTCCCCCACCATTTTGTTTTCTTTTGTTATTTTAGGGAATGTAATTGGCTTTATTAAACAAGTCATAGACAGCATCTCATCTAGCAAGTAGAAGGGCTCTTCAACGATTCTACCAAATGGAAGGTTTTCATGGTATAAAAAAGGCAGGACCAAGTTTATTAGCCAAAAAAAAAAAAATTGTTTTATTTTGATCAAGCAGCCTTCCCTTAGGGGAAGGGAGGGGCGATCTTGACCTACAAATTATCTTCCCACTGCAGTTCTGGAAACTCCAGATTGATTGGTTTAAAGTTCTGCTTTTGGGAGAGGCTGAACTACAATTACGTTAGATCTTAAGTCTTGGTGGGCCTCAACACAAAAGACCCCATTTTAGGCCTGTTGTTTCTTTCATTAAAAAAAAAGGGGGGGGCGCTTCCCTGGTGGCTCAGCTGGTTAAAGCACAGCACTAAGAAGCTAAAGCCACTTCAGCATGAGTTGGATCTGCACCCCAGAGGTGATCCACATGGCATGGCAGACCTCTCCTGACCTACCTGCTGCACCCCTCAGCAGTGTATTTTGTCAGTCGGCCTGTTCTGCTCCCTGCTCTGTCTCTGGTGAATTCTCTCACCACTCCTGCACCTCTGGCCTGTACCCCAGTTCTGTATGCATAAATAAAATCTTTTTTTTTTTTTTTAAATCACGCACACACAAAAAGTCCCCTCCTTTTGACTAGACCTATTATCTGAGAGATGTTTAAAATTTATGACATTAGTTCCACTGCCAGTTGCTTCTGAAATTCTCAGAAGTTTGAAGTCAGGGAGACTCCACCCTAACCCAACACTCTTATGTTTAACCTTTTCTGTCATTTCAGCCCCACTTCCAGCTAGGGTCAGCTGGAGGTCCCACCCCATCCTCATGATCCTGCCTCTTGTGAGTGCTCTTGAGTTTTAAAGTCCATCTGCCTAGCTAGAACTCCAGGAGAAGCTGCGACCTACCCAAATACACTCCCCAGGCAAAAAGTTTGAAGAGCTCACTGGCTGTGCAAGCTGGTAATCTCTGTACAGCCACACCCTCATTGAGCTTTGTTTTTTTTCTGAATATCCTCCCCCAAACCTTTATCATCCCCTCTTTTCACTCGGTGAGTGGGTTTTGTGAGTTTTGCCCTGCCTAGCATTGCCTTTTCTTAACCCTGCAAGTCCCTCCAAAAAGCTGTCCCTCCACAAAGGATTCTACCAAATGGAAGGTTTTCATGGTATAAAAAAGGCAGGACCAAGTTTATTAGCAAAAAAAAAAATTTATTTTGGTCAAGCAGCCTTCTCTTAGGAAAGACTGTTTCCCTTCCCCAAAGACTGTTCCTGGGAAGACTTAGCCAGGTTCTCATTTTAGGCTCTGTTGGAAACCTGTCCTATCCCAGGTTAAGCCCCTCCCTCTTCATAGCTCTGCTAGGCATCAATCTCACTCATCCCTGTCTTGCTCCTGCCTTACTGGGGATTATTCAGAACACTTTACCTGGGTCATCATAACCTGGACCTCTCTCGCTTGCTGATTCACCATTTTAGAGCTTCTGCTTTTGACCCCTTTTCCTTTCCCTACAGACTCCTGCCACCAGCCCAGGATGGCTTTGAGGTGCTGGGTGCTGCAGAGCTGGAGGCTGTTCGTGAGGCCTTTGAGACCGGTGGCCTGGAGGCAGCGCTGTCTTGGGTTCGTGCTGGCCTGGAGCGACTGGGCAGCGCACGGCTGGACCTGGCAGTGGCCGGCACAAGGGATGTCTCTCTTGTGCTGAACCTGCTACTTGGGTTGGATCCCGGTGACCCAGGAGCTGTGCCTATTTCGTTACCTGCAGGACCCACACCCTACCCAGCACCAGAGCGCCCTAATGTAGTGTTCTGGACTGTGCCTCTGGGCTCTGCCGACACTGCTGCAGTGTCCCACTCAACCCACTTTGACGCCCTCATCCTCGTCACCCCGGGTCCCCCCACTGAGAAGGATTGGGCCCAAGTCCGGACTCTAGTGCCTCCAGATGCGCCACTGGTCTGTGTGCGTACAGATGGTGAGGGTGAAGACCCAGAGTCTCTGGATGAAGAGGAAAAGGCTGAGAAGTCTGGCCTTGAGAGCTTGGGGGGTGCCAGCAGAGAGGGCATGGAAAGTGCTGGCAGTGAGAAAAGAGAGAAACATGGCACTGGGTCACAGGAAGTAGGTAGTGGGGAAGATTCAGAGAAAGCAGGCGCAGAGAGGTTGCCACAAGTTGGCATCAGTGTGAAGAAATCAAGCAGTGGGGACTCAGTGCATACGGCTGCACTGAGCCCTGAGGATGAGACTTGGGAGGTGCTGGAAGAGGCACTGCCCCCGGTGTTTCCTTTGCACCGGGGTGGACTCCCTGGCCTCTGCCAGTGGCTGCAGCGTCTGCTCCCCCCAGCACAAGCTGGGGCGCTTCTCTTGGCACTGCCGCCTGCTTCTCCCCAAGCTGCCCGAAAGAAGGCTGCAGCACTGCGTGCAGGGGCTTGGCGGCCAGCCCTGTTAGCTAGTCTGGCGGCGGCGGCCGCACCGGTCCCGGGCCTCGGCTGGGCATGTGATGTGGCCCTTCTTCGGGGTCAGCTGGCAGAGTGGCGGCGGGCACTGGGACTTGAGCCTGCAGCTTTAGCTCGACGGGAGCGTGCACTGGGTCTGGCTCCTGGGGAACTAGCAAAGCGCACGTGTTTCCCTGGCCCAGTGACACGCTCAGAAGTGGAGGCAAGGCTGGGGGCCTGGGCTGGAGAGGGCACTGCAGGGGGTGCAGCACTAGGGGCACTCTCCTTCCTGTGGCCTGCGGGTGGTGCAGCAGCCACTGGTGGCCTGGGTTACCGCGCTGCACATGGTGTCCTGCTGCAGGCCCTCGACGAGATGCTGGCTGACGCTGAGGCTGTGCTGGCGCCCCATGTGCCTGCCCAGTGAGCACGGGGATGAGGGCTGGGCCCACCGGGGTGCCCAGCATCCTGGCTGCTTAGCTCTGCCAGGGCCTGAGGACTCAAATACCCGGTTAGAGGGAGTGGGTTTGGGGGTCCAGACTCCAGTGTGGAATGTTTGGGTCTCAGATAATAGAGCAGTAGGCCGCCACTCAAAATCTTGTGTGCTGAATTTGGTGAGGGCACAGACTGGGATGGCTTTGTGATGTCTAGTTACCTGGCTCCCAGAATCTCCAGGACCAGGCTCCTGATCTTCCTGGGGACCAGAAGGCATAATATCCATATTCTAAAGGGAGTAGAGAGGCCGGATGCCTAGAAGGGGGTAGAATGGAGTTGTTGGGGAGGGGTGGAAGTCCTGCCTCAGGATGGGGACTAGAGGACTGAGTGCTGCTAGGAGTTAGAGCCCTTGGACTTCTGAGTCACAGTGGAACATAGGGGTTAGGTTTCCTGGGGGGCATAGGCCTACACTGTGGCCTTCCAGTTTCTCAAGAGGCTGTGGGCTTTGAATCTTCAGAGGGAAGAAGGTGACTGGGTTCTCAGACCTGGTTCCAAGAGGGCTGTGGTGCTTCATTCATAATCACTGGGTGACGGAAGGTCTGCATGTGGAGGGACTGGGGCTGGGGGGCGCTGAAGATGTTAGTCTCTTGTGGAGGAGAGGACTGCCTAGCATTTGTTCCCCAGGGGCCTGGTGAGGTAGATTCCTCTCCCAACTGTTGTGGAGAGGATGATCCCACAATAACAGTGGGCTCTGGGGGTAGCTAGAGACCAGAAATCAGGCCTTCTGGTGTGGAAGAGCAGAAACTTCTACCTCAGAGGTATCTTTCACAAATCCCTAAGGATTTTGGATCCTGGCAACTGCCCTCTCTCTCTGTGAATTTGACTAGGGAGGGATGTGACCGTCCCCATTTTACAGGTGCTGGGCAATTCAGGAGCTCCCTGGGGAGTCTGTTCCTTTGTCCCTCTCCTTCGAGAGTATCTATCTTTTTTTGGTCTTGGTTTCTTCTGTCATTAAACCTTAGTCTTCTCTGGCCTTGGAATTTTGCTCACCTGCCTTTTTGGAAAAGTAGCTTTTCTGCTGCACTGACCCAAGCATTTCTGTGTGGGCTCCCTCAGGTTTCCCAAGTGGCTCTGCCTTCTGGTGTGCATATAGAATGCTACGGTGAGCCCCCAGGCCCACTAGACAGCTGGGTAGGTGTCCCAGACTCTGGGAATGTGCAGAGTGAGGCAAAGGCAGAAACCACGGTGCCTAGAATGTTCTAGACTGCCATCTACATGTAGAGAAGCCGTAGGCCACATGATTCTTCTTTGTCAAAAATAGGAAGGATGGAACCTGAGTCATATTTTGGGGGAGCAAAGCCCAAAGAGGGCAGGATCTGGACCCAGCAGCACAGAGCAACGCCCTATGTGAGTTGACCCCTGCCTATTCTCCTCTGCCCCCATTAAAGCCCCCAGTCAGCCTGATAGATCTTCCTTTGATGCTTAACTGGACTGCTTTGGGTCCTGCCTCAGGACCTTTGCACTTGATGCTTAGTTTTCTGCCTAGAATACTCTGCCCCTAGATTTTCGCATGATTGGCTTCTTGTCAGTCAGGTTTTGGCTCACATACCTCTTAAAGAGACCTTCCTTGCCCATTCTAACATAAGCAGCTTGCATACCCTCAGTATCCATCTGGGCAGATTGATTTTCCTTGTAGCAACTCTTGTTGTCAAAAGTTATTTATATGTATTTATTTATTAATCTGTTTTAGCTGCTATTATCTCCTTGCCTGTCTTGTTCTCTGCTGTATCCCCAGCACCTGGACAGTGCTGACACACAGTAGATGCTTAGTAGATATTTATTATTTTAATTTCTCAGTCAGTGGCAGAATTCAGGCTGGATTTTAGATGGCCTTCCTCTTGCCACAACAGGGAAAAGGATTGAGGTGGGGAGAAACCAGCATTGAATGGAAGAGAAAGCCCCTGTCTGAGGTCAGGGGGCCAGAGGAACAGACACCCTCTGTCATTTGTCCCCATGTGTGACTCAGACCAGTGCCTTATTTTCCCACCCATGGAATGAAAGGACTGAATGAGAACCATAAATATTACTTCCTACCCCCCAACTCCTGTTTCCTTTGCTAACAGAAGACAAAGGTAACCCGACCTGAGGGATAAATCCTGAGAAGATGGTTCCTCCATCCAACTTGAACTGATAACATTTGTCCCATCACAGTTGAAGACAGCCAAGATGGGAAGAGCACTGAATTGCAGGGCAAAGCTACAAAGACCAGAATCATAGTAGCACTATGTCTGGCAGAAATAGTATGTCAGTCACTTGTCGTTTTAATTTTTCTAGCAACCACATTGAAAAAGCAAAAGGAAACGTGAAACTAATGTGTCTTAACCAAGTGTATTCAACAGATCATCTCAACCTATGATAAGTATAATATAACTATTCATGAGCTATTTTATATTCTCTTATCCTAAGCCTTTGAAATCTGGTGTGTGGCTTGGACTTAGCACATCTCAATCCAGACACTAAGTTTACGTCAGAAAGACTTCGATTTAGATCTCATAAAATTCATGTTTGAAGATGTAAATTCATCATCCAGTTGTCCCAGTTATAGTAAATAGTCATTTAGTAACTGAGACAAGTATCCATTTTTATATTAACTAGAAGTATGTGAAATTTTAAACTCGTTTTCCCAGTCGAGTGCACCACATTTCAAGTGTAGTGAGTGGCTACAACATTGCACAGCCCAGATCTAGAACATTTCCTTTACCACAAGAAATTCTATCAGCATAGTCCTAGTGTCGGATGTCCTACTGACTTTGGTGGAGACTTCAGGCAAGCCATTTATACAGCACCTCCCTCTTCGGGGTACTGAGTCTGAGCATGTGTATGTACCTAATTCATTCTGTGTCCCACACACACATGGTCTGGGTAGCCAGATGCATTGGGGGCTCACATGTTCATCTAGTTTCCCTTGCCCATACACCTCTACCTGGGTGCCCACACACAGTGTGGGAAGCACCAAGATGACTCCAGTCTGGGTATACTGTCTCACCCCCACGTCCTTGTTTGTAAAGTGACCTCTTTTTCTACTACTTAGACACTGTCTCTGACTTGGCCCTGTCTGACAACCTCTGCTCTGTCCCAAACTTCCTTTGCCTTCACCCAACAGGAGAAGCAAATTTGTTTGTGTCTTGGTGCTGCTTGTGGTTATATAGTTGTATGTGGCACCTGAGTGCCGTGACTGCTCTGGTGGGGTAGCTGCCTACTTTCTCAATGAGATTGAATTCTAGGCTTTGTAGAGGTATAAGGTTGCTAGTGAGGCATCTTCTGGGATCGTCCACGCAGAAAAGACAACCCCTTGTAGATGGCTCACTGGCTGCTCTCGGTTATCTGCATGGCACCTCAGGCTAGAAGTCCCTCAGGCAAGAATTGGAGGGAATGTATATTTTGTCTTGGTATTGCCATCTCTGGAAGCAGAACAGGTACAAAACTTTAAGTGGATGACACAACTGCAGCACCTTAGTTGAATTCTGTACACTTCTGGATAATGAGGGAGAGACTTGTGTCCATTGGAAAGGGCAACCATGAAGAACAAATCAAGGGTGTGGTGTGCCTGTGGTGCTTTTGGAGAAATGAATAAAAATTAATAGAAAACCTATTGTGTGTTCTTTGGGGGTAAGAGGAAAAGAAAGATGCCTGGGGTTTTGAGTGGAGCTGGAATCCTGGGCTCCTGCATCTGAAGAAGGGGGCCAAAAGTGGAGACTCCTGGGCCCTGGGAGAGGAGGGAGAGTGGAGACCGAACGGGACAGAATGCCTTGGGCTGGGTCAAGAGACCATCTGTGAGTATTATCACCTGGGGATTAGGGGTGACAGATAGACTAGTGACTGTTCAGACCTTGGAGAATGATGATGCTAAAGCATCTTGGGTCTGGACCCATCTTGACCCATTAGTACCTCTGGTGTGTTCAGCTCTGTAGCCAGGTATTGTCCTTTGACTAGACTTGTCATGTGATTAGCTTAGCCAGTGGGACAACAAACTACATAATGTAAGCAGAGATGGGAAAAAAGCTGTACTGGAACTTCTTCTGATCCCCTGGGAAATGCCACTGCACCAAGGAGCCCCTGAAAACCTTCTGAGTCATTCAGGCGGCCCAGCCAGCCTAGATACCCACAACAAGCAGCCAACCCTCTGAAATGGAGCTGCTTAGTTCTCCTCAGGCGGCTGAACCCAAGCAGCCACCAGCAGAGAACCACCCAGTTGAATCCAAACCAAGCTACCAACCTCAGAATCTTGAACTATAAAAGTGATTTTATAAATCATTGAATTGCGTAGTGATTTCTTAGGTAGTGAAAGATAATGGCTAGTGTGTAAGTATTCTCCCACTTAAACTGACCTCAAGGATTACAAAATGACATCCCTTCTGGGCCTCAGATTCTTGAAAACAGGGATGAGACAATCATGCCTATCACTGGGATTGTGATGATAATGAGAATCAGCCAGGAACACCCACTTAGGAAAGGCAACCATGTCCAGGGGGCAAGATGGCACTTCAATGCGCCCCCCCCCCCCCCCCGTGTGCTTTGGTGGGGCCATGTGACTGGCTCCAACCAGTGAGCTGTGTCAAGTCCCTGCTAAGTCTGGGTACACTCAATGACCACTGGAGACTCCCTGGGCTCTTCTCATGTGCACAGAAATCCAGCTGAGCTGGTGAGCAATTTGCCTGTGAGGAACAGACTGCCCTGTGGGTGGTGCTAGACACTTTAGGTGAAGAAAGAATCACCCATTTGTGAATAGTTTCTTGCTCAGCAAACTCCACTCTTCTCCACACCTGGAGGGTGCATGCCCATCTTCTCCACACCTGCACACCAGTCATGTTGACCTTGACAGTATGATTTTCTTTACTGCGTGGCGAGTTAGCTGATTTGACCTCCATGAGGGTTTTCATACTCTTGACTTACATACTCCTGTAACCTTAAAACTTTGAGGGAGCCATTGAGCCCAGAAACCTGTCGAACTTCATGGAGAACTTCCATCCTCCTCCCCAAGTTGGGTCCAAATCAGCCAATCAAGGCAACCGTGGAAGCAGGGCCACCCTGGCCACCTGCAAACCGCAAACCCTTAGGAGAATACTTGTGGTCTCAGTTTGGGGATGGCTTGTTACAGAGCATTATGGCTACATTAATGGACTAACTTAGGTTTGTTGTTATAAAACAGAGATTAGGGACTGTAACTGTAGCATGAGCTAGTCTCCCCTGATGGATGCCAATGTTGAGCACCTGCCAGCTAATGGCCGCTTACCAAATAGCAGTTAGTAGGATGATTACTATTTACTCAGACAATCTGTCTTTAGAACCATGTAGCATTGTGCTACATGATTTTTTAAGTTTTCTTTCTCTTGATTAGCGTAACTTATAGGAAACTATGAACACTGCGGCAAAAAAAGACGGAGAGATTAATCATGACAGCTGAGTGTCAACTCTGGAGTCTGACCCTCCCAAGCCTGGCTGTGCTTAGGCTTATTCATTGGCAAATGGGGGAAACACGGCCAACTTCGTAGAATTGTGATAGTTACAAAATGAGGTATGCCATTTAGCACAGGTCCTGCAGGAAATGATCCCTAAGTGGGGTCTTCTCTCTCTTCCTTGTAAATGAGGTTCCTTGGGAGTTGACACCCCTGTTTTTCACATTCCACCTCCCTGACATGTATCACATCACAAGGACTCAGGTTGGCTCTGTTGACCTCTTTAATTTATGTGCACATGGGCAGCTGCAGGCTGAGGGTAAATGGAGACCTCAAGTCATGCATTCCTCAGCTTCTCACTCAGCCCTGCCAGGGGACTGGGAGGCTGGAAGGCAATCAGCCCGGCGGAGGAAGTAGAGGTAAGAGGCTGAGGGCACCTGGGCACCAGGTCTGGAGTAGCAGGCACTCTCTGTGGCACAGCCCCGAGTAGCAAATTTGGTCCTGATGATACCTGGGAAGAGGATTTCAGACAGCATCAGAGCCCTCCACCTCTTCTTCCTCACTACCCAGGAGTCTGGGCCCTTGCCACCTTCTCACTGGGCTCCCTGGAACCACCAACTCCCTTTGAACCATCAAGTATGAGCCTCCACTTCTGGGCCTCTTCCTCACCCCTCCTCCAGAGACCCAAGTGCTCCTTACCAGCCTGCACGTTGCCAGCAAAATAGACGCAGTGGGTTTCCTGGCCCACACAGCGGGCAGGCTGGGTCCCGGGGCAGGTCTCCTGGAAGGGCTGGATGCAGGCTGGGCACTGAAGGCCATTCTCAGTCCGATTATTCTGGGGAGCTGGGGGTGAGGGTGAAGCAGAGGGTACATAGGGATGTTAAAGCCCCTCTACCCCCACCCCACTCACAAACACCGGTTGCTAATGGACACTTCATTTCATAGGTGGGAGGGGACACTTCATTTCATAGGTGAGAGGACAGAGGCTCCGAAGGAGCCAGAGGGTTCTTGTAGCCAGGTCTGTGGTAGCTGGAAGGGGCTCCTGACTGGGGTGTGGGCTGGCACTTACGGGGCACGGAGCCACGGTTGCAGCCATCGCTCTGGCAGCAGCGTGTATTAGATACCATGTAGTCCTTGGAGCCCATGGTGGTGGAGACAAAGCCTGAGTAGCAGTCGCTGAACTTCATGCAGCCCTTGTAGGTGTTTATCGACTGGTGTCCCTCTGCAGGTTGGGGAAGTGGAGGTGGCTGTAATGGCAGATCCAGCCTGGACTCTGTTCCCTCCCAATCCTACCCCACCCACAACTGTTCAGGGCGGTCTCTTTCAGCCCCCCAAAACCATACCATCTTATCTGCCTAGGATGCAGCCTGGGGGGGTTGTTCAGTTAGCCCCCCATCTCACCCCTTCCTCGTGGCCGCAGCCCTCATTCAGCCTCGGATGGTGTCTTGAGTCCCCCACTGCCAAGTCCAGGTCACTGCCCAAGGAGTCCTTGCCACCACACCCTACACCGTAGTCACCCTCCGAGGGTCCTGCAGTGTGGTGCTTTTCAGATCACCTGAGGCTGCCGCCAAGTTTATGTGTAATAGATCCTGCCAGGCTTCAAGACTTCTGAGCTCCTCCCTCTTAACCCCATACAAGCCCACAACAGGCAAGCCAAATCCCTCTGTGTCCAGGGTGGTCTCTTCCAAATTTACCCATGTCATTCCCACCAAGGGTCTCTTGACGCCTACCTAGGCTACTCCCAGGTGTTGCCTGAAGTGGTCTCTTCCAGTGGCTACTGGAGGGGAGGGCATCTCTTCCTACAGCAACCCTAGGGTTTCCCCTCTTGAGTCCACTGAAGGGTGTTTTTTTTCTAGCTTCCTTCTACCCCCCTACCCCAACATCTTTATCTCCCTTCTCTATGGGGTGGCCTCCTCAAGTCTTTTAGGTCCTCCCCCACCCCCACCATTTGCTAGTGAGTAGGGCACTTGCTATCTTCCATTCCACTTCCCTACACACACCCTCCATCAGTGTTAGATGGCTTCTTCCTACACAAGAGGTAGCCCTTATCTCCAGCCTCTGCCTTTTCTCTCACCCCATCTTGTCTCCTCACATCTAACAGTCTTTTTCAGCTTTGAACGAACCTCCCTCATCACAGTCTGGTGTCTCTTCCATGGCTCCCCTTCTCCCCATCCTTGCTGGGTCTGGGGTGGCTCCTCCCCCTGAAGTCATGCCTTTCTCTTCCTCTTTGCTCATTACCCTTTGCCCCGCCTCTGCCCTCCATGATGAGTTGCTCCATACTTAGGGATTAGCTTCACTCTCTTGTTTGGTGTGGGCCCTATTATGTCTCTCTCCATATCCAGCATTGACACTCCCCTTCCTGTTAGGAACTGACACTCCTCTTCCTGCTCACACTACCCCCGCCATACCTGGGGAAGTCTCTTCCACCCTGTTTTGTGAATTCCTTCCTTCCACCTAGATGATCTTGCTGGGTCACATTTCCTCTCCTTCCCCTTGCCTCCCCTTGCCTCCCCCTGCATCCTCTTCCTTCTCCTCTAACCCCCACCTCTTGCCTAAAGATTCTTCCCCTTTCATTATGTCTCTGGTCCACAAGTCCTTTCCTCACTCCCTCCTGCCTAAGAAAGTCTCTATAGAAAGTCTGCCCCCTCCCGTTTTCTCATCCTCCATCTACCTCGAGAGTGAGAATCTCCCCTCTTCCTTATTGCACCCATAATGCCATTCACACTAGTAGTGAAGCAGCCCTGCTTCTGTGGCTAGTGATCTCTATCCTGAAGGTGGCTGGTGACCTCTATACTGAAGGCCCACTAGCCTGGAGTCTGATCCCACACCCTCGTACTTGTGCTCGACTCCCCCACGACCACCACGCAGGCATCCTTGCCCTCTTCACAAGTCTTCATCTTTCCATTGCACGTGGGCCCGGATCCCTTGCACACCTCACAGCTCAGCGGGCATCCTGCAGGATGGAGGATGGGTCTGTTGTCAGGGGTAGTGAGGTCTGAGTACTGGCTGCTACCAAAGATGACAGAGGAAGAAAGGGGCTAAGTGGGGTGGATTGGGGGTCCAGTGGGAGGCGGGCCAGGTGCTTCCCTGATGGTTTACGACAAGGGCGGGACATTGACCGCTGCCCAGGGAACTGTCTAGAACTCTGAATGGGACGCGATGGTAAAGCCAGCAAAGCGTCTTCCAGGGGAGGGAAGTGACTCCACCACAGAGCCTGTTTACCTAATTACAAGGCTGGGGACTCTGGATGCCAGGGTCCTGTGAGAAAGCTGGGGAATGGGAGGGGTTCTGCAGCTTCAAGCTCAGCTGGCTCTTGGACATAAGCCCTCCTGTGCCATATGTAAGTCTTATAGCCAGTGGGAGCTCAGGCAGGGGTAAATGAGCCTGGATTCTACATCCCAGGTCAAGAAGGAAGATGAGGACTGGGAAGGTATGAACTCCTTGATTCTGAGGGGAGGAGGCAACTGGAGGCCCAGACATCTGGGCCCTGGAGAAAGTAGGACTTGCTTGAACTCCTACCACTGAGGGAGGGGGGCATTCCTTCCTCTTCCCCCACCCCAGTTCTTTTTTCAAAGATTCCCTTTCTAGTCATGTTCTCAGCTGATTTTCTAGAACTCAGATGGCTTCTTCAGATCCACTGATCTCTCAGGGACCCATGCCCATGAATTTGGAGCTTTCCTTCCTGGTGGGCCTAGCCTTTGGCCTCTTTAACCTCTGCTTTCACCATGAATCAGAATTCCAGGCTGCCCCTTTTCCCCCCTTGAGGACCTTGCTAAATGCTCTCTCACCATCCTCTTTCCTGAAGGTCCCTGGAGCCCAGGCCCCTCATCACTTACCAAGACCCAGGAGGGTGCAGAGCAGTGTGCAGGCCAGCAGGCAGGTACCCGGTCTCGAGAAGGACCTCATGGTGTGTGAACCTGCAGTCCCAGGTCCCCAGCCCTTATAGGAAGCTGAGGAGGGGCGGGTCTGGACCCACCTTCACCCTGGGGTAAGAAATAGCTGAGGTAAGATCTCAGGCAGGCCTCTGTGGCTTTGGGTTGGAGGGCAGGGGGGCGTAACCAGTCTAAAAGGCAACTGGGTACCTTGTGCCCAGCCCCCTTCTCTGCACGGATCCTAGAAGTCTGGGTTTCTAGTCCCCTTTTCCATCAGGACCCAGAAGGTCACTTTCCTAGTTTCTCACATTCCTACCCCCACTGCTCTCTTTTTTTTGGCCTCTAGCCCAAGGTAGTAGTCAGACCATTTGATTCCCTGTAAGGATAGAGCAGCTGCAAGAACTGAGATCCCCATTTCCTTCTCTCCTTTCCAAGGAGGCACCCAGCGTGGGTGGGGCCCTACCTGGGAGTGCCCAGCAGGTCCAGGCTCGTTCTGCGGGGGCATGGGGAGCCTATCTCCTTTCCCTTCATTTTCCACTTAGCTCCTACACCCTGTTCTATGTCCCCCGTTGTTTTTAAGTCTGACTATGCCCCAGGCTGCACCCTGGGTCTCCCAGGCTGAACAGAGGGGTGCCTGTCAACAGCCAGGGGCGGGTGTGGTAGGAGACAGATGCCCACAGGTCACATTGGGAAACTGAGGCATGGGTGGAAGCTGTCTAGGCTAGGTGTGTGTCTGGTTTGGGCACATGCTTTGTGTTTTATTTGGGACCTTGAGCTCGGGCATGACCTTGAGAGAATTCTGAGACTTTTTCCGTATGTGTGTGTGGCGGGGGTATAGAGGAGAAGAGTGTGGCCGCAGGAACCGCTGAAGAGGGACCCTACTAATGAGGCCGCCAGCTTCCTATGAAAATCTATGTAGTGGTCTTGCTTCCTGGGCTTTAGTTTGGGCGGTGACTACGTCGTCCAATGAGAACAGCGAATTTCTTCTAGACACTAATCAGGGAGCCCGCTGCGGTTGCTAGGTGCCCAGTGGAGGAGGGACTAAAGAGAGGTGGGGCAAGAGAGAGGCGGGACTAGAGGGAAGGCTGGTTGCCTAGGAAACTCTGCGCTTCGCTCCGGACTGGCGCGATTGGGCTTGCGCAGAGTCGACGCGAACGCCAGCGCGCCGCGGTTTGAAAGGACCAAGCCCCATGCGCTTGCGCACTTTAGCCCGCTCAGGGATAGCCCCTCCGTCCCTTCCCTGCCCCCCCCAAATCGGACCCTTCTTAAGCATTGGGGCCAGGCAAAGCTCGCGACGTTGACATGCCCGAGATTCGCCTCCGCCATGTCGTGTCCTGCAGTAGTCAGGACTCGGTGAGAGACTGGCGTGGGGGAGGTTGCAAGACGGAAGGGCAGCTTTGGGGGAGAGGGAGCGGGGGCGCTATATGAACTTTTGAAATGTAAAAGGAAACTTCACGAACGTCTTCGGAGGGTCGTGGGGGAATTTCCAGGAAACTAAGTGAATTCTGTGAGATGTGATATAAGGGAACTTCCGGGTGTCTGTGGAACTTCCGGAGAGAAAAGGAGGAATGGGAGTAGGCTTCATTGGAGAATGCATAGGTGAACTCACAGGGGAGAATGTTCTACGGGGCTCAAGATAGAGTATGGGGGCACTAAAGGGAAAACTTGAACCTGAGAGGTCATAGAGGATTTGAGATAACTCAGACTACATTGGCGATCAGGGACCTAGCTCTTCTCTGTATGCTAACTTCACCTTTCTAACTCTTATCCAGACCCACTGTGCAGGAAACCTTCTCAAGGCGGACACTTACCGGAAATGGCGAGCAGCCAAGGCAGGCGAAAAGACCATCTCTGTGGTGCTCCAGGTGATCCTGCTCTCTCTTTAAACTCCTTAAAGTCTGGAAACCCAGGGCAGTGGGTTGCAGCAGTTCCCCTGACTCTTAAGCTTCCTTTCACGGAAACTGGGCAGCGTGATCACAATGTCCCTTAACAGAGGAGAACGGTGTTTTCCAAGGATTAGGCCAGGGATGACCTTAGGAATGACCAGGTAGGCCTCCGTTTCCTCAGCTGGAACAAGTAAATCACTGCCTTGTATCTTCCCTTCTAAAGTCAGTGGACTCAGGGATAGAGGGTGCCAGGGAAGATCATCCAAACCAATCAACCTCATTTTAAAGAGGAAACTAAAGCACAGAGAGGGGAGGAGTGAAGTGGTCATGCTAAGCTACTGTTTTTGGAATGTTGACTGGGTTCTTTCTGAAGCTATCACTTAATGCCCCTTGGTTTTGGAGGCAAAAAAGAAAGGATGGTTTGACTTGAGATGTTTACAGAATTTCAAATAGGGTGTTCCTGTTATGGATAAGAAACTGGTGGGAGAAACGAGCTCAGTGTGTTTGAAGTATCTTGAAGTATCGGCTTTTGCCTGGTGCTCTTCTGCATGATGTAGGAGCCATTATAATGGATAAATGGTAGTGTCAAGAGTTAAACACAACTGGCTGTTGGTGCTTATAGCTGCTTTGTCATACTGCTTTGTGTTCACATACTTGCCTCCTTGATTTTGGTTATATTCCTTAGTTCTGAATGTAAAGGTGTTGTGGGGTGGGGAAGGTTGTGGGCCTGGCTCACATAATTGTATCCAATACTGACCATATTCTTATTTCTTTGCCCATTACTTCTGTAGCGTTTTGGTCACAGAATCTTTTAAAGAATCAGAAGCTAAGGATTTTCTCTCCTGGAAAAACACACAGACCTACAAGATTTTCTGAATGATTTTGAAGTTCAAACTTCTCTTAGCCACTAAAATAGTAATAATAATGAGTTAACATTTATTCATTGTTCCAGCTGCCAGTCACCATTCTAAAAACTACATATGGATTAATTCATTGAATCCTCATAAAAACCCCCATGACCTAGAGTCCATTATTATCCTGTTTTATAGATGAGGAAACTGAGGGCCAGAGAAGTTATGCAACTTGCCTAGAGACAATGTTTTATCCTGAAGGAGATACAGGTTGCTGGCAGCTGGGGACAGGACTTGGATTCAAGTCCCCAGCTCTCCCTCTTACTCACTCTGTGACCTCAGGCAAATTGTTTTATTTCTCTGAAGTTGTTTTTCATTTGTTCATTGGGAATAACCCAAGCTCAGGGTTGTTGTGAAAAGGGGGTGACATAATGTCTGCATAAGTGCTCTGTCAACATACAGGTGTTTGTATAAAGGGAGGGATCCAAGTTTTTATTGCTGGGTGATGATTCTCCTGGACTCTCTTATGCTCAGGTGACCCCAGGAAAATCACATTCTATTTAGTACTCCAGTTGCAGCGGGAACAAAGAGGCTAGAAGCTGCAGATATAGGACATGGGGGATGAGGTAGACAGAGGGACCAAAACGAGGCTCAAGAATCTCTGACCTGGGAGACAGGAAATATGCAGCTGTTACTAACATGAGAAAGGGGCCTTTTTGAGAAGCTGGCCTGCTGGTCGGGATGTCCAGGTGTGCTGTGATCTTGGGATATCAGCTGTACAGAAGGCAGTAAGAGATCACATATGCCACTAGATATAGAAGTGTGGGAGCTGTCAGCACAGGAACAGGATCGGGAGACTTAGGAGTGAGAGAATTCTTATATTAATTTGTTCGTTCAACAAGTATGGAAGCAGCACAGTCTGCATTCTGTAGACCACGCACTATTGAATGTACTTGGGTTAGTAGCAATGAAGAGTACAGATAATATGTTCAGCCTATGGAACTTTCATATTAGTAGGGAAAGACTGACAAACCAGTAAGGAAGTCAGATGTTAGGTGATGAATGCCATGGAGGAAAATTAAAGGGAATGGGAATGCCTCAGCCAAGGGAGGAGGCGGTTGCAAGATGTTTTTATTTAAAGGAAGAGTCAGGGAAGACATCCCTGAGAAGGTGGCATTTGAGCATAGTGCATTATGAAAATATCTGGGGAAGAAACACAGACTGAGGCAGGCTTGTGCCTGGTGTGTTGGGGGGAACAGCAGGGAGGTCAGTGTAGGTGGAGTGGAGCTAGCCAGGGGACTGACTAGGAGAGGAGCTAATGGGGTAGGGGCAGAGCGCCTAAGCCTATTAAGGCTTCAGGTTTTCCACTGCTGGGTCACAAGCCGCTGAAGGGACAGCGCAGGAGGCATGTAATCTGACTTGGGTCTCCTGGAATCCTGGTTCCCATGTGGAGGATGAGTGTGGGGCGGGTACAAGGGAAGCAGTGGCTCTGGCTGTTTACTAGCCCCATGGCAGAGCCTGAGAACTCTCATTGCATTTGTGGTTGCCAATATCAGGGAGAGTCCAGATTCACTGAATACTAATTTTGATTCCTTGCCAAATGAGTTACAAGGCAGAAATTTCTGGGTACCAAGACATGTAGACTGATTTGTAATTTTTCTTTTCCTTTTTTACTGCCCTGGATTTTCTTCTCCAAACAATATTATGCAAGATCTGGATATTACCACACTTAGGTTCAGCCCTCTACTCGTGACAACTCCACACACCTTTTTTGTTGGCCTTGGCCACAGGAAGCTCTGTCACCAGCCTGTCACCTGCTCCAAAGAGGGACATTCTAACCTTCTTTGCTGACTGCTCTTGGGCTGGAGGGGATGTCTGGGTGACTATCCAGATGTCACTCCAGCACCTCACTAGAGGTGGGTTCTTCAGAGAAATGCCCTGCAGCAGGCCTGACAGAGCTTTGGTTTTGTTTATCAGTGGATTTCTGATTACTTGGTTTGCCAGTGTGGTGTTTTACATTGGACCTCTCCTTCTTCATTTTTTTTGCTATTTCAAGTGTATTGATTGGATTCCAGGATTCCAGGTGGTACACAATTCAGGATAGAACCAAGACTGAAGACAACACACTTGGGCAAGATTCTGACTGGGTTTCCCCTGATTTCACCGCTCAGGTAGTAATGACTGAGTGAGAAAAGCCAAAGAGAAGATGATCCAGGCTGTGATTTTTTAAATTTTCCAAAAGTTTATTTTTAAATGTACAGTGTTCTCTAAGATACTTCCTTTTAGTTTTCCTTTTGTTTAGCAGTAACAAATATTATGGCAAAAAATCCAGATGTTTAAACAGGGATGGACTTACGGATCACCATTTCCTCAGGCACAAGGAACAGCTGACATTTTGCCAGATTTCTTAATACCACCTAAGGTCAAGGGGCCTTTTCCTATAGCCTTTGCTTTTAGCTCCTTGGGTTTCTTCTGCTTTTCTGTCTCTGCTTCAAGGCTTTGTTTTCCTCATCCATTTGGGCCTACTTGTTGAGCTGCCTCAGGGGCTTCGCCACCTTTGCAGATTGACAAGGAACCTGCTAACCCTTCCTGTCCTCCTCTTATGACATGTAATGTGTAGGACAAACTGTTTGGCTCAGTGAACCCCTACAGGCTTTAGCCCATGCACCGCACAGCCAGATCAAGTCCCATGCTCAGCCACCCTGACTCCACATGCCCTTGTGCTCCTTTTCTTGACTTCCTCCCCCCCTTCCTCAGGGATAACCACACTCCTGATTTTCAGTGCCAGAGAGCTAACTTTTTGTCTGGCTTGGAAGTTCATATAAATGGAGTTGTGCAGTCTTTACTTCCATGTCTGCCTGCTCTACTCAGCATGGGTTTTGTCAGTTTCCATGGTGTCATTGGTGTAGCTGTAGATTGTTCATCTCTGTTTCTGTATAGTTCTTGCTTCTGTGCAAATAACCACTGGCGGTATTATATGCATGTGTACAAAGTACAAGAGGCAAAAAGAAAACTATACCTAAAAAGGAAACCCCACCTGCTTCCCCTCTTCCGCCCCTCCCTCGACTTATGCTACGCAGTTCCTCCCTCTTGGGGAAATGGCAGCAGTTTCTGGGAGGCCCTTCTGAGTTCTTCTGTTCCCATTTGCATGTATATACTCCTGCTACCCCCTTTTTAAAAGGTCATGGTAGGTCATGCCATTATCCCTTTCTTTATAATAACAGCAGATTTTTTTCTTATCTTGGAGATCCACTCTTGTTGCACAAGGTTGGATCTGTTCTTTTAAATGGTGTGCAGCATCACCGTTTATGTGGATGCTTTTAAACAGAACGTCTAGGGAATCTTCTTGTCCCACTGCATGAACTATGTGGATGTCTTCCTAAGAAAGGCACACACAGAACTGGGCCACAGGGGAGTCATCTTGTGCTTAAAACCTTCTCATACTTAATGAACACTTCTTATAATTTCTTTTTTTTTAATAGTTTTATTTTTCAAAATGTACAGTTGGTGGAACCTGCTCATGCATCTTCGCCAGCAGCTGGAGCATCTCCATCCTCGATGTTTCTGGTATAAATTACTTGTGCTCTGTACTTTGAAACTAGTTTGATAAGTCCTTTACTAAGAAGCTCCGATAAGTCCTTTACTAAGGAGCTCCTGAAGGGCCACCCTGGCCAAGGAACCACGAATCTTCAGTCTCTCAGACGTAACAGCTGAGGTTATGAGCTTAGAGTTGCGAACCTCCTTGCAGAGTTTGTCATAGCTTTGTCAAACAAGACTAGGTTTTTGAGCTTGTCCCAAACTTTGCCTTTGGACCACTTCTTCTTCTTGGCCTTGCCCCCAGATTTGTTCACTGGGCCTTTGTCTTTCTTGGCTGACTTTCTGGCAACTTTTTTCTTACCATCTTTGGGAGGTATCACTAAGTTTGGCGAGCAGGGCTATCACGGCAGCTTTGCTAAGATGTTGGACCAAAAAAAAAAAAAAAAGCTCTTGTAATTTTTTTTTGAGATAAAATCATATGTCACAAAATTTACCGTTTTAGTTATTTAAACTTCAGTGGTTTTTAGCATATTGACTGTGCTCTGCAATTGTCAACAAAATCCAATTCAGAACATTTTCCTTAACCCATCAAGAAAGCCCATAACCATTATTTATTTGGCCATTCAGTATTCCTCCCTTCTCCAAGTTGCCCCTGGTAACCACTGGTGTCTCTGGATCTTTCAATTCTGCTGCCTATTCTGGACAGTTCATACAAATAGGCCCATATAATATGTGGCCTTGTGTGCTGGCTTCTTTCACTTATTATGCCTTTCAGTCTTCTCTATGTTGTGGGAGCAATGATTGGTCTTTTTCCCTTTTGGTGTCCAAATGTTTGATTTTTTTTTTAAATATATGTTTTTTAAGATTTATTTATTTATGCTTACAGAGCTGGGGTACAGGCCAGAGGTGCAAGGGTGGTGAGAGGACTCACAGGGACAGAGTGGGGAGTAGAACAGGCAGATTGACAAAGTACACTGCTGAGGGTAGCAGTGGGCGGACCAGAGAGTTCTGCCACGCCATTTGGGTCAGCTCCCTGGCTGGGGATCGAACTCGTGCTGCAGTGGCTTCAGAGAGCTTCATAATGCAGTGCTTTAATCTGTTGTGCCACCAGGGAGGGCCCTGTTGTTTCATTTTCGTTGGTATACCCTACTTTATATAACCATTATCACTTGATGGACATTTGGATGGTTTCCATGTGTAAGCTTTTTGTCTGTTCATTTTTATCAAAAAGAAGAAATATAAGGTAGCATATGTGTGTGTTTAAAATATGAGTAGATGCTTATGTAGTAGGAATCATCCTTTTAAAATACAAATATATGTAAAACAAAAAGAACAAAATACTAATATCCACATCCTACTAGAGGAAAGGGGAGACTTGTACTGCATATTGTAGGAGAGGTAAAAATGTGCAGTTTTTGCCTCAATGAGTGAAATTGGGGATTTGAGATAGAGTGTTGGTTTTCAGTCAAGTACTTGATCCAAATTTCTGTGCCACTCATTAGTTGTGTGTGACATCTGAGCTACTTGTTTAACTTGCCTGAGCCTCAGTTTCCCCACCAATAAAACTAGGACAGTAGCAGAGCCACCTTCCTAAGGTGATTGTGACGATTCAGCGACACCTGGCCCAGAAAGATCTTAGCCAAGTTTGTAGAAAGGAGAATGCTCCACTAAAGAATGTGCGTGTCCCAATCCTCAGAACCTGGATGTGTTACCTTACTTGGCAGAAGAGAATTACTTTGTGCAAGGGATGGAGTTAAGGATCTTGAGATCAGGGGATTATTCTGGGTTAGCCAGGTGCGCCTAGTGTAGTCCTTGTAAGGGAAAGAGGGAGGCAGGAGAACAGAGAAGGAGGCATGAAGATGGAAGGAGCAATACAAGTGAGATGCTTGCTGGCTTTGAGAATGAAGAGGGGCCATGAGCCAAGGAAGGCAGGTGGCTGCTGGAAACTGGAAATAAGACAAGGAACAAAATGCAGCCTAACTGATACCCTGGTTTTGGCTCAGTGAGGTAATTTCTGACTTCAACTCTCCAGATCTGTAAGATGTTTTTCAGTCCCTAACTATGATTATTTGTTGTGGCAGCAGTAAGAAACTTGTATACAAGCCCTGGGCACACAGGAACAATCTGGAGGTGTTAAGCCATGATTACCCCTTTGTAACACATGGGGGCACTGGGGCAAGTGACTCACCAAAATCACTCGGTCAGGGAGGGCAGGGCCAGAGTTACACTTTGGGGCATTTGTTTGTTCAGCAAATGGTTTATTGGGGACTTACTGTCCTTCTGTCCACCCGTCTCTCAGGAACATATTGAAGACCTCTCATAATAGTGTCTGCTGACACTTAGGGGGGTGTTTGCCTGGTAGCATGCACTGTGGAAGGGCTTTGTATTTCTTGTTTGAATCTTTTTTTTTTAAACATAAGTCTTGTTTTTAAAGATTTATTTATTTATGCTTAACAGAACTGGGGTACAGGCCAGCGGTGTGGTGGGTGAGAGGATTCACCAAAGACAGAGTGGGGAACAGAACAGGCAGATCTACTGAAATACACTGCTGAGGGGAGCAGTGGGCGGGTCAGGAGAGGTCTGCTGTGCCGTGTGGGTCAACTCCCTGGCTGGGGATTGAACTTGTACTGAGGTGTCTTCCGAAAGCTTCATAGTGCAATGCTTTAACCCGTTGTGCCACCAGGGAGAGCCCTCTTTGAATCTTCACAGCAACTATATGCGGTAGAAGTTGTTACTTGCCCCATTTTAGATTAGGAGACTGAGGTCCAAGGGCATGAAATGAGACCATTTGCTCCAGATCACACATCAGTAAGTAAGCCGAGCTGAGAAGAACTAGACCCTTTTTGGTATTATGGCCACAGTAGGGCAGACATGACCCTGTCCTCATGGAGTTTAGATATCTAGGGGGAAGATAGATGCTGAACACAAATCAAATGAAAAAACCTAACTAATATCAAGTGATGACAATGAAGACAAAGCAGCATTAGGGGATAGACAGTAGCATCTGGGGAGGCTGCTTTAATTCATCTGAAGAGGTGGCATCTGAGCAGAGACCTGAATGATGGAAGGAGCCAGCCATTGGAAGGTCCAGGCAGAATGGCAGGTACCAAGGCCTGGGAAGGAGCCTGCCTGTTCTTGGGACAGAAGAAAAGCTGTGTGGCTGGAGGGTGACCAAGTGTGACAGGAGGCTGAGAAGTCAAGACCCGGCCTGCTGCATGGCTGGGCAGCACCACATACCACCCCAGAGCTCCGAATGGGAACAGTGGTGGGACTGAGGCAATCACCAGGAGGCCAGCTCTACTCCACTTGGGGAAGGCCCTTCCTCAGCCACCCTCTCTTCAGTACCCCTGTGATGTGGTAGAGGAGCACCAGCCAGCCTGCCTGCGCTCTGTCTGGGCTCTGCTGCTCACTAGCTGTGTGACCTTGAGAGACTTGTGACCTTGAGAGACTTATATAACCGCTTCCTGCCTCCGTTTACTCATGTGTGAAATGAAGATAATAATAACGCCTGCCTCACAGAGCCGTTGTGAGGGGCGGAGTACCAGTATTACCTGTCTGGAGTACAGTGGACATTTAGATGTTGACTTCAGGCTCTGTGGAGGGTATAATTCTGTGTCATCTCAACTCCCTTCAGAAAGAGGCTTATTACGGTGACCCTGCCTTTGCACACATGAGGACACTGCCACTCAGAGAGGTTGTTTGTCACCTGGGAGAGCATACGTTGGATATGAAGGCTGGCCTCATTCAGGCTCTGGCCCCTTCATCCTCCCCACCTCCGGGGGCTGTTCCTGTTTCCAGCCATGGGTCCGTGATGCCGGTACCACCTCTTGCCTGACTGTTGATAGAGCAGAGAAGAGCTTCAGATGACCCAAGGCAGGGATAGTGCAGGATGGTGGTCTGAGTGCCTCTGAGGTTTGTGATTAGCTGTCATCCTAGGATCCAAGAACCTGCATCCGAAGGCAGGGACTTGTCTCACCTTTCCCACCTTCCACCCTAAGCTTTGTGCACTGTTAGCAGGAATGGCAGATCTTTTGGAGAGAGGCCTTCTTATAGATAGCTCATTCTTTTGACACTAGTATTGAGCAGGGGTGGTATGCCTCCTGACTACAGCAATAGATCTGCTAGTGCCATGATGCCCTGTGGCACTGGTATTCTCGTGCATGATCCTAGACAGTGGCCATTGTCCCTCTTTTCCCAAGGATAAAACTGAGACTCCAAGAGGTTAGCTGACAAGGCCATGAAGCTAGCAAGTGTCAAAGCTGTGATTCACACCCAGGAGTCAGGAGTGAGCGAAACCAGACCAGGCCCTTGACTCAGGATGCTCTCTGGAGTCATGGGCCACTGTCAGTAGGGGAGTGGCCACTGGGCCTTTGGGTCTGCACCATTATTGGAATTGGAATAAATAAAGTGGCAGTCCTGGCAGGTGCTGCCAAGGCGATCCCCATGGTGGCATGTGATAAGTTCCATCAGGCAGTCAGAGGGTTCTGGGCCTTCACCCTGAAGATATTTGAGCTCTGCCTTCAGGTGCTACATGCCAGGGTCCCTCTCACATGCTTAATCCTGGCCCCACCGTCAGAATTGACACTGCCTAGGCATCATGGCTCGCCCCTTTCCTGAGGTCCCACAGTGAGCCCGGGAGTAGAGCAGACACTGACACTTTCTATCCTCCACAGTTGGAGAAGGAAGAGCAGATACACAGTGTGGACATCGGGAATGACGGTGCGGCCTTTGTGGAGGTGCTGGTGGGCAGCTCAGCAGGTGGGGCTGGGGAGCAAGACTATGAGGTAAGTGGGCCTTGAGATGCGGGGGGGGGGCTGTTTGTGGGAGTCTGGCTTCCTAGGTGCTGGCCATGAGCTGGCCATGAGTCACACTGACCACTGCCCTCTGGAGGAGCCTGGTGGACTAGGAGATAAAGCAGCCACAGGAGATAAACTGCAAGGCAGGGAAGGGATTGCATGGCCTGGTTGTTGGCATAAACAGCCAAAGGCACTTGTTTGTTCTTAGAGTCTGTTACTGCTTGCTAGCAAAGTTGCTTCTCCCCACCCCTTCCCACCCACTGTGTGTGCCTGGAAGTTTTCCCAGATGTCCCATTAAATTGAGATTCCGTTTTGTTTGGGATGCCTGTCACTTTGTGACAGAATTTACCAGAAGGAAGAAGACCTTTTGCTCTGTTGTGAAGATTTTTAAAATTTGGGACAGTCCTCTTTTTTTTTTTTGCTGGCTGAATTAATTAGAGCTGGATAGGTGAGATTATAGCTAGCTGGGTAATCAACAAAATGTAATGTGGTAAAATTGTGACAAAGTTTACAATTTACATGAATAAACCAATTTCCCACAAAATAGATTCTTTTCTTGCATTGAAAATGGTTTCTAATTCAGAGTATCTCATAAACAGTACAATGCTTGCCCAGTTTTGACAAACATTGGTGTGTGTGACCATTTTCAAGTGAAGACACAGAGCCTTTCCAACATTCATAAAGTTCCTCCTGTCCCTTTGCCATCTCTCCTCCCACCCCCAGCTCAGGCCAGCTCCGATCTCTTTTCTGTCACTACAGACAAAACTAGTTTTGCTTGTCCTAGAATTTCACATAGATGGAACCTTACTGTGTGTACTCTTTCTGTGGCTGGCTCCGTTCTCTCAGCGTATTGTTCTTTGTGACTTTTCCCTGTTCTGCCTGCTCCTGGTTTTTCAGTTGCCTGCCTCGTAATGTCCCTTGTCAGCGTCAGCCATAATGTTTATTCCTTCTCTTGGTGATGGCCTCTAGGCTGTTGCCAGTTTTTGACTGATAGGCATAACATTCTTGTACAATCTAAGGATTTCTTTTGGGTGAATAGCTAAGAGTAAAATTTTGGGATCTTGGGATAGATTTATATTTTAAGCTTATTAGCAAATGACTTTTTCCCAGGTAGTTGTATCATATTCCCTTTGGTGTAATGTTCTAGTTACTCCATACACTTACCTGTACTTGACATTGCCAGTCTTGTTGTTTTTTAAAGATTTATTTATTTATTCATACATAACTAGAGTACAGGCCAGAGGTGCAGGGGCAGTGAGAGGAGACAGAGTGGGGAGCAGAACAGGCAGATCGACGAAGTCCACTGCTGAAGGGAGCAGTGGGCGAAGCAGGAGAGGTCTGCTGCGAAACGTGGGTCACCTCCTGGGCTGGGGATCGAACTGGCACTGAAGCAGCCACGGCTAGCCTGCAGTGCTGTGCTTTAACCCACTGCACCACTAGGGAGGGCCCGGCTAGTCTTTCTTAATATGCATTTTCATGACAAGCAATGGCACTGTGTAACTTTTCACATGCTTATTAGGCATTTATCTATCTTATTTTATGAAGTGTCTAGTTAAGTTTTATTTTTTACTGGGGTGTTTATTTTGTTTTACCATGGATGTTAGCTATTTATTTTTTCTAGTGTTTCCCCCCCCCAGGTGTGTATTGTAGATTTTTCTCCTTGTTTGTGACTTGCTTTTTCATTATCTTAACAGTGTGTTTTGATGAATAAAAGCTAATGAAGTTTAGTCTCAAGGTTTTTTCTAATACTTAGTGCCTTTTGTGTCCTAGAAGAAATATTTGCCTGCCCAAAGTAATGATCATAGCCCCTGCATTAGCTTCTTACTGCTGCTGTAGCTAATTACTATAAACTCAGTGACTCAACTCAATGTAAATAATTATCTTACAATTCTGGAGTCAGAAGTCTATAATCACTGTTAGTGGGCTAAAAAATCAAGATAGTGGCAGGGCTGCGATCTTTCTGGAGGCTCCAGGGGAGAATCCATTTCCTTCTTCCTGCTCTAGAGGCCACATGCTTTTCTTGGCTGGGACCCCTGCAAACAAAGTTCATAACCCTGATTTTTCCATCTTAACTTCTCTGATTGATTCTGGCCTCGCTTTTTCTTTGAAGGACTTGTGGTTACACTGGACCTACCTGGATAATCCAGATAACCTCCCCATCTAAGCAGCCTTGACTTCATCACATCTGCAAGATGCTTCTTGCTGTATTCACAGGTTTCAGGAATTAGTATGTGGACATCTTTTCTTGGGGGAGGGGTTATTCTGCCTATCACTGTCACTATGTTTTCTTTTAGAAGTTTCATGTTTTCAACTTTTACGTTTAGATCTCTGATCCACCTCAGATGAATTTTTGCATATGGTATGAAGTAGGAGACAAGGGTCATTTTTTTCCTGTTTATTTTTTGTGTGTTTTGCAAAGTTAAAAAAATCAGCTCTTTTGCTCACTGAATTATTTGGGCTCTGTTAAACATTATTTGATATATATGAATTTATTTCTGTACTCTTGTTCCATTGACATATTTCTTAATGCCAGTACCAGTCTGAGTAATAATAATGAAATAAATTTGTGTTGGGCTTCCAGCTTTGTTCTTTAGGATTCTCTTGGCTATTACAGATCCATTGTATTTACTTCTATGTCAGTTATAAAACCAGCTTGTTGATAACTCTCAGACTTATAGAAAAGGTGCAGAAGTAGTCTTCTTCACTCTATATTCTTGACTGAACATCCCCAGATGTTAACATGTATGCACATTTTTTTATTGAATTGAAAGTAATTTGCTTATGTGATGTCCCTTTATCCCAACCTCATTCAGTATTTCCTAAGAACAAAGATGTTTGCTTATTGGACCTCAGTACACTTATCAAAATTAAGATAATAACATCACTATACATTTCTATCATATGACCTCAGATCTTGTTTGCATTTTCTACATTCTCCCATTAATGTTCTTTATGGAACCAGAAGATTCAGAATCATACATGGCATTGATTTGTCACATCTCCTTGGTTTCCTTTTTACAGGGAACAGTTCTTGTGACTCTGTATTTTATTTTACTGACCTTTTGCAAGAGCAAAGGTCAGTGGTTTTATAAAATATCACCCATTGTACAAAATGTATGAATTTGCCTCATGATGAAACTCCAGCTCTGCACTTGGGGCCAGAATGTCACAGAGTGTTGTATTCTTCCCAGAGATTGTGAGGCACAGGCTGTTGATTTTTAAAGATTTACTTATTTATGCATACAAGAACTGGGGTGTAGGCCAGAGGTGTGGGGGTGAGAGGATTCACCAATGATGGAATGGGAAGCAGAACAGGTGCATCTTCTGAAATACCTGCTGAGGGGAGCAGTGGGCAAGACAGTAGAGGTCTGCTGCACCATGTTAGGGTCAAACTCATGGTGTGTGGCTGGCAATAACTTGATATTGTTGCTGTGTCTTTAACTAAGGAGGGCCTGTTGATGCTGTTTTAATGATGTCTTCTCAAAATTTCATTTTCCAGTTGTTGGTAACAATAACAAGTGATTTTTGCATATTGACTTGTCTCTTGTCACCTTGTTAAGGTCACTAATTCTTGTAAGAGAATTCCTTGGGATTTATGGTGATTCTTGGATTTTCTACATATACAATCATGTGGTCCAAATATAGTTTTCTTTCTCATTTATCTATATGTTTTGTTTCGTTTTTTCAAAAAACCTTTATCTCACTTTATCACACTGACTACTACATCTAGTACAGTAGTGAAAACAAGTGGTGAGAACAGACACCCTTGTCTTGTTCCTGATAATTTGAGAGAAGGTGCTTCATTTCATCTTTCACCCTAGTTAGCTATAAATTTGCTTATAGCTGCTCTCTGTTGAGTTGAGGGTGTTCTTTTCTAAACCTGTTTTGCATGAATGTGTTTTGAATTTTATCAAGTGCTTTCTCTGCTCCACAAGCACATCTATACAAATGAGGTTTTCCTATAACAAGTACTCTTATTCTAAAGGTAATTTACCCTAAAAAGGTAAATTAAGACATGTTAATTTTCAGTTTATTTGAGCAAATGATTTGAATCAGGCAACGCTGATTTAAATTGAAAATGAGGGCCTCCCTGGTGGTGCAAGGGGTTAAAGCGCGCACTATGAAGTTCTCCACAGCTACTGTAGCACAAGTTCGATCCCCGGCTAGGGAGGTACTCACATGGCACAGCAGATAGCTCCTGTCTTTCCCACTGTATTTCAGTAGATCTGTCTCTTCTACTCCTCACTCGCTCTCTGATGATCCTCTCACCCCTTGCACTTCCAGCCTGTACCCCAGTTCTTTAAATCTTTAAAAAAAATGAAAATGAGAGACCTCCCTTGTGGTGCATCGGGTTAAATTGCAGCACTGAAAAGCTAGCCACAGCTGCTTCAACACGAGTGCAATCCCCGGCCAGGGAGATGACCCACATGGCACACAGACCTCTCCTGTCCTGCCTGTTCTGTTCCCCACTCTGTCTCTGGTGAAATCCTCTCACCCCCTACACCTCTACTTTATACCCCATTTCTTCTATCAATCAATCAATAAACTAAATAACTTTTTAAAAAAAAATATCTACCAACCTGAAATTTGAGGTAGTCCCCACTGCCTGCATCCTAAAGCACCCTCCTCCCACTGCCACTACCTGGGACCCTTTAAAGTTTAGCTCTGTACCATGCAGGGTCGACACCAGAGCAGACCATACCACAATGCCTCCGCTGTGTATCAGCCAGAGCCCTGTGCCAGGAGATTGAAAAAACCATACCAGTTAAACAGAGAGAATTGATATACAGAATAGAGTTAATAATGAGGTACTGAGCTGAAAAGGCAAATAGACTAGGACTCGAATAGGGTAGGATGAAAAGGCAACTGGGGAGCAGCTACTATCCCCAGGGTTGGGGGAACAAAAAGAAGAGGCTGGAATTATTAAAACACATGTGTCTAGAAGCTTGGAGTTGGGGTTCCACGGCTCTCTGGCTGGTGCTGGTGTCCCAGAGAAGGTGAGGCCAGGAGATTGGTTATGCAGGTGTTGGTCAGCTGGTTGTCATCTGCTGCCCTGGAAGGAGCCCTGAAGAGGCAGAATCAAGGCACACAGGATCTGTAAGAAGGAACAGATTTCTTCTCCCTCAGCCTGGCAGCCTTTGTCTGGCGCCCCTTGTTGGCAGAGCCTGAGAATGAGCCTGGAGAAGCAGATCTAACCCCGCCCTGAGCTGAGCCTGCCTGGGTGGTTTGAGCTGAGACATGGTCACTTAATAACTGGCACTGTTCCCTGATGCTTTGCATTTTGACCTTGCTTTCTGCTTCTAAGAATTATCCTTACCTTGTCCTTCTCAGCCTTGTGCTCCCATGGACGTTTGGGTTTCTTTTTTCTTTTTTAGAATTTTTAAAATTTTATTTATGCATACAGAACTGGGGTACAGGCCAGAGGTGCAGGGGCAGTGAGAGGATTCACCAGAGACAGAGTGGGGAACAGAAAAGATAAATCAATAAAGTACACTGCTGAGGGGAGCAGCAGGTAAGACAGAAGAGGTCTGCTGCGCCATGTGGGTCACCTCCAGGGCTGGGAATCGAACTCACTCTGAAGCTGGCTGAGACCAGCTTTGCTGCGCTCCAGCCCACTGTGCCACCAGGGAGGGCCCTCTTTGGGTTTCTTACCAGTCTTTGTGAATATTCTTAGCTGGGAGGGCACCCTAAGTGGGGTAGCCTGCCATATGTCAGAGCTAAAGACTGAGGGAGAATTTAGGGGAGGATAGTTCAGGTTTGGTAGTATGGGTCTCCCCTGGGTCTGTGTTAGGACTGCCAACCCTGTTTCTCATTCATTGTGCCTTCTCCTAGGTGCTTCTGGTCACCTCATCTTTCATGTCTCCTTCTGAGAGCCGCAGTGGCTTAAACCCCAACCGTGTTCGCATTTTTGGGCCTGACAAGTTGGTCCGGGCCGCAGCCGAGAAGCGCTGGGACCGTGTCAAAATTGTTTGCAGCCAACCCTACAGCAAGGTACCTAGGGTGGGAGCTGGGGGTGCAGAGTCCTGGGCCAGAAGGGAGCTGAGGAGCCAATATGGAGTTGCTAGGGCAGGGAGGAGTGGAATCTGTCTCCCCTGGGGTGAAGAGGGGTTGGGTCCTGGAGTTCCCTGAAGTGCACTTGCAGTCTTCCTCACACGTGAGGCTTCGTGCCCTGGAGGATGTCTAAGAAGGATCTTAGACCACAGTAGGGGTAAGGGGGGGCTGCTGCCTTGCGAGAGGAGTGGCCTAGTAGAGTGGGATCTGGTTCAAATCCTGGCTGCACCAATTCCTAGTTTGCGTGTGACCTCAGATCTGTGACTTAACCTTTCCAGCCTGAGTTGTTGGTCCTTATAAAGTTGCTGTAGGTTAGGATGCTAACCTGGGGTAACGAAGCTCGAGTATGTAATGAGAACATGCGCTGGAGGTTTATTTCTCACTCATAGAAGGGTGTTCAGTTGGTCTTCCAGTAGGCTCCTTCCATCTCAGGACTTGCAGCCAGCAGATGGAGGCAGCACCTGGAGCATTTCTGTGTTCTAGAAGCAGCACACATCCTTCCCTCTCCTTCCATAGGCAGGAATTTGGGTGGGTGGGAGTAGATTCTGTTGACACTTTGTTACTTGCTATGCAGCTAATGGGGCACATGCAATAAAGGGCTTAAGCTGAGCCTGACCCAGAGTTAGGGCCTAGTAATATTGGGATGGGATTGTTATTATATCCCAGTCTCCAGATGTGTGCCCATAAAAGGGAGGAGCTGGAAGGCAGTTTGAAGAGCCAGGACTCTTCCTGGTACCCCTGACTCCATCCGTCCTTTCCCAGGACTCCCCTTATGGCCTGAGTTTTGTGCGGTTTCACAGCCCTCCAGACAAAGATGAGGTAGAGGCCTCACCCCAGGTAAGTGCTACCTGCAGCCCCACAGAGCCTCCTCCCTGCCTCTTCACCTCCCCCTGAACCCCTGCTAGTAGTGCTCCCATTCGTTGTGTTTGCTGAACCTTAGAAGGTGACAAAGCTTGGGCAGTTCCGTGTGAAGGAGGAGGATGAGGGTGCCAGCTCCCTGAGACCAGGAGCCCTCTTCTTTAGCCGGATCAACAAGACACCCGCAGGTAAGCAAGGAAAACTTGGACTCTACGTGAGTAGAGGGTTAGGGCCCAGATTCCTATTTTTGAAGGCGGAGGGCCTGAGGAAGGAAAGGCTGGGGGCCTGGACTCAGGTCTGAGCGAGGACTAAATCAGTGCTGGATTTGGGGAACAACACTGTCCCATGGATAGAAACTGAAGGGTCTGAGGGCCCAGCCTTTTCTTCCTGATCTGCTTTCTCCCTCTGTAGCTACAACCAGTGACCCAGCAGGGCCCAGCTATGCAGCTGCCACGCTACAGGCCTCTAGTGCTGCCTCCTCGGCTTCTCCAACACCCAAGGGAGTAAATAGCACCTCCAAGGTGAGATCCTCCATCTGGGTAGAGTAGAAAATGAGGAATGAAGCTAGAGGTCTCAGATTATCTCACTCTTTCAGCCTCAGGAGTCCTCCAAAGGAAAGAGGAAGTTGGATATAAACCAAGAAGAAAGGAAGACCAGCAAACCATCGGCCCGGCCCTCCTCACCTGCCCTCAAGAAACCTAAAAGTGAGTGGCTGGATCCCTTGTTCCCACAGGAGCCTGTGCTCATGTGTCCTAGGGAAGAAGGCACTGAGGTCTGGACTCCTGCATCTGAGGGAGGTGGGGTCAGGGTTTAGCCCCACTTGTGCTAACTAGAAATCTGTCTTTTGGCTTCCACAGTGTCAGCTCCCACCCGTACCCCCGGCACTTCTCCAGTCCCTGCCCCAGCAAGGGGGGCAGTGCCAAAGAAACCCCAAGGAGAAGGGACTAAGCCCAGGGGACCTCATGCTGGCCCGCAGGAGCTGGGGAAGATCCTTCAGGGTGTAGTAGTAGTGCTGAGTGGTTTCCAGAACCCTTTCCGCTCAGAGCTCCGGGACAAGGCCTTAGAACTGGGGGCCAAGTATCGGCCGGACTGGACTCCAGACAGCACCCACCTCATGTAAGCCTGTGCCTCCTCCCCAGCCCTCTCTGTGCTTCTCCACCTGGCTTTCTCTCTCTCCTTGTTTGCTTGTCTTTTCAGCTCTATGTCTTCTGCTTATTTTTCTCTGATCCTGTAATTTTCCCTCTGTCTCCTTATGTCTGTTTTTCCCACGTGTTTCTTTTTCCCTTATTCATATCTCTCTCATTTCCGCAGTCCCCTTTGTCTCTTGTCCCTCTTGACTCCTCGGATCACATCCGACTGACATTCTCCATTTTGCCCCTCTCCCAGCTGTGCCTTTGCCAACACACCCAAGTACAGCCAGGTCCTTGGCCTTGGAGGCCGCATTGTGTGTAAAGAGTGGGTGCTAGACTGTCACCGCATGCGGCGGCGGCTGCCCTCCCGGAGGTAAGGCCTCACAGCATGACTGTAGCACACACAGGCACACCGACCTTACTTCTCTTCTTCCTCCTGGGTAGTGCCTTTGAGGGAGAGAAGTCAGACTGGTAGAGATCACAGGGGGGCCCAGCCACCATCAGCTGACTGTTGAGGGGAGGGTTTGCCTATGGGTTCTTGGAGGGAAGTTGCTTAACAGAGGGAAAAGGACTTTGTAGGCTGGAGAGACAGCAGGCTCACATGGGAGAAGGGAGCCATGGGACCTGTTTTTGTTCACAGGGTGCAAGACCCTGACGCCATTGCTGAGTGCCAGACTGAGCTGCACCACACTAGACTCCCAGACATTAGGGCCTACCCTTAAAGGCCTATCTTTGATGAGGGGGTCAGATTTGTATAAATCAGTCTGGAGGGGCCCAAGGGCAGATCTACAGTGAACAAGGGGTCTTTGAGGAGTAGCCATTTGCCAGAGGACAGAGATGAGAGCATGCCTGGCCTAGGAGCCAAGGTTGGGTCATTCTGAAGGAATGGAGGTGGGAGGCAGGAAGTGGCAGGACAGTGAGGTGTGGCAGCAGGAGCAGGGGAAGGGCAGGGAGTGACCTGAACCTGTCTATTGGAGGGGAGACTTAAGTGTATTGGGGGCCTCAGGGGGAGAGGCGAGAACAGGCATGACTGTTCAGAATCAGGGCTGGGCCTAGGAGTCGCTTTGTGTTGGGGAAAGGTGGAGGCTGGGAGATGGGTGGGGTTAGCTCCAGAAGGGCTTTCAGTATGTCTCAGTGTGGGACAATCTGCTCCACAGACCCCCTTATCTGTGGTTCAGGAAGCAAACACTTAAGGAGGCCCCAATACTTTTCCTGCTTTAGCACAAGTGCATTGGTCACCCAGTCCTGAGCCAATGTGAGGCTCTTTATGGATTTAATTTATCCATTGATACTGATATCCCATTGTATTTCTTCCTTTTTTTTTTAAGATTTATTTATTTATTCATATAGAACTGGGGTACAGGCCAGAGATGCAGAGGGTGAGAGGATTCACCAGGGACAAAGTGGGGAGCAGAACAGGAAGATCGACGAAGTACACTGCTGAGGGGAGCAGCGGGCGGGCAGGAGAGGTCTCCCACGCCATGTGGAACTCCTCCGGGGCAGGTGGGGATCGAACTCATGTGGAAGTGGCTTAAGCTTCTCAGTTCTGTGCTTTATCCGCTGCGCCACCAGGGAGGGCCCCCATGTATTTCTTACAGAAATGTTAGTGGGTTTGATATACCGGCACCCTCTCATGCCCCCTGAGGAGTGTTATATAGCAGTCTGCCACTGGCCTAACATCTTAAAATTCAGAACACTGAAGCCTACCTATTGCTAACTCAGGATTCCCTCTGTAAGACCATCTCACAGAGACATGAAAGATTTGAGAATGGCAGGGCTGGCTCTCCTGTGAAGGGTAGAATTTCAAGGGAAAGTTGCAGGTGGGGTCCCCGGAGGAGGCTGGGGCTCTGGGGACAGAAAGCAGAGATGAATGAGGGATGTATTTTTGTACAAAGGAGCTGGATCTGGGTTGCTCTCTGTGAGTGAGCGTGGAGGGAGAGGCAACCACAAAGTGTTGGATTTGGGGCTTTTAACCCCCCTAAAAATTCAGGTCACTTTTTAAAAAGTCTCTGCTAGAAGGAAGATTCCAGTGGAATTACTCTCCCACTGTAAGCAGTTTTTTTTTTTTTATCTTATAATTCAAAACACCTTAAAAATAAAGTTAGTAAAATATTATTCCTCGTTCAGCTGCTACACTTTAAATCCCCTCAGTGCCATGAGTCACTGCTTTCCTGTATTGTGTGCCTTACCTCAGCGAGTGTTACCAGCTTTGAAGCAGCTGAGGCCTATGGGGTAGGGTCTTCCTACCACACCTAGAGAAGGAACGCCAGTGTGTTTGTTCGTTCCCTTCTGCTGTGCTTGCCCTGCAACTGGAGGCAGATTGCCTTGCTCATCTGCATACTGGGACTAAAAATAGCATCTACCTCAGGTTTCAGTGACTCCTTCTGAGTCAAGTGTTTAGACATGCCTGGAAATCCTATGTTAGCTTCTGTGGTTAATGTTAGACCTGGGAGAATTGTTACTGCAATGTCAGTGATTTATTGACCATTATATCAAGATCTTTCAAAATGTATTTGCTTTTGAGACTTGTCTCTCAACTGGTAGTCATTCTCCTAATGAGCATTTGATCTTGATTTTCAAAGGGGAAATTCTTTCTGCATTCTTTCTTTTCCTTTTTGAGATGGGGCATTTGTTTGCCAGAGGGAGGAGCAGCCAGAGAGTGCTAGGGTGTATATGATGTAGTAGCTGGGGGATTGGGAGTCTGTGGGGCCTTCTGGAGCTAGAAAGAGGGGTATTTGAGACCCCAAATGTTTAGTAAATGCCAGTGATCCTAAGTACCCACACCAGCCCTCTGGAGGATTTGAAATGCTGTTTGTCTGAGCCCCATTTATTCCCCAGGTACCTCATGGCTGGGCCAGGCTCAAGCAGCGAAGAAGAAGGGGGTTCTCACAGCGGCAGCAGCGGGGATGAAGCCCCCAAGCTTCCTCGAAAGGTCTGACCCCCTGTCCAGGTGGGGGAAGATGTACTGGCAAGAGGATCTGGCTCTCTTGTGACTCCCCAAGCTCTCTACTCCTGCATCCTGCAGGTGTATACCCACACTGCCTCTTCTCTCCTCACTGATCCACTCTCCCTCCTCAGCGCCCCCAGAACAAAAACAGGACCCCTCAGGCAGCAGGACCCAGCTCACCACAGAGACCCCCAACCCCAGAAGGGATCAAACTACCCTCCCCAGCATCCCAGGAAAATACTGACACTGAGGGGGAACAATCAGGTCAGCCTGAGGAAGAGGCTTGGGGTCTGGGTCCCTGGGACTGAAGGAGGGGAGACTGGGGTCCTGGGCTCAGGAGTCTGAGGGAGGAGGGTTGGGGTTAGGGTCTCCTGGACCCGGGGCAGAGAATGCTAGAGACCAGGACTCCCTTTTCTAAGAGGGGAAGCGGCTCAAAGCCTAAACATTGGATCTTTTGGAGGTGGGGCTGGATCCTGGATAATAGACCTGGGGGCAGGAAGCTGGGCCTGGAGGGGCAGATGTCTGTATCTGTGCTGGGACATGAGACTGGTTGGAGAGTTACTAGTCAATGACAGTGCGAGCACCTCCTGTTGATGAAGCTCCCACTGCAGGGCAGGACAACGGAGCAGAAGACTCTGGGGACACTGAGGATGAGCTGAGAAGGTAGGCCTAGATTTGGGGATCAGGGTGACCTCAGCCTTGGGTGGAGGGGCATATGAGAATTCTTCTCCACTCTTGGCTTCCTCAGGGTGGCTGAACAGAAGGAGCAACGGCAGCCCCCTGGCCAGGAGGAAAATGGTGAGGACCCGTATGCGGGATCCACAGATGAGAACACAGACAATGAGGGTCACCCGGAGTCTCCCAGCTTGCCAATTCCTGAACTGCCAGGTAGGAAATCTCTCCCTCCCTCCTTACGTGGGATTCATCCCTCAATTCTCAGCTGATATGTCCCAGCCCCCCTGCCCTGGATTGCTGCTGTGTCCATGACTTGTATCCCAGCTCCCCCACTCCACCTTTGGCCACTTTGTTCTCTTAGGCCTGTTTCTTCCTCTTGGCATCCTCTTTGTCACTTCCTGCTGCCCCCTCCTAACTTCCTGCTGTGACCACCTCCATCACAATTCAGTGTCAGGTGTGAATGCGGGTGTCTCCTCCCTCATATCACTGCTTCATCCTCCAGAGGCTTCAGGATCACCTGGGGGGGCTTTTAAAAGCCATCAATGCCCAGGTTCTACCCTGGGCTCAGTTTCATTAGTGTGAGTTGGGCCTTGGAACATCAGGTGATGTGGGCACTGATGTCTCTTGGGAACTGTGTAGTGGTGGCAGCATTTGTTGTCACCCCAGACATGAATATGGGGGTGTGGGCTGGGAACACAGGGCTCAGAGCTTCTGCTAGTAGATAACAGAGGGAGAAGCAGCTGGGGAGCCAAGGATCTGAGTGGGGATGAGGCTTTGTGGAAAAGCCCTTCCAGCAACTTCCCTGTGGATTTCTAGCCTCTGAAGTCCCAACGATGGTTGTCACCAGTTGATGGCCTTGTAGGTGATACTAAAATGTAACAAAGAATGCCATCCTCAGGTCAGAGCCTCGTCAGAGCCCACTGGAGAGACAGTCATAGGCTGTGATGTGTGCTTTCCAACCAGACTGCCTCAGTGATAGGCCACCTGTGAGCCACCTCTTGTCAGGAACATGCACAGTAGTGTCCTTAATTTGCCCACAGCCAGTGCTTCCCAGGATGCAGCTGGGCTTTGGGGGAGCTACTGTGCAGTGGGGGTTGTTTTAATAAGCACATATACCAGTTATCGCCTGCTAACCTGTCTGACCTCCAGTGTCCTCATTCAGCTCTCTCACCATCTGTCTCCCCAGACTTCTTCCAGGGAAAACACTTCTTCTTATATGGGGAATTCCCTGGGGACGAGCGGAGGCAGCTCAGCAGATACGTCACAGCATTTAACGGGTCAGTGTCCAGGGGGAAGGCTGGGTGATGTGGCAGGAGGGAGGTGGCAGGTGATGGGAGGAGGGAAGAGAGGCGCACCCTGCAGGGTGCACAAACTCTGGAGTCCAGAGCTAGTCTTGCTCGCTTGTCCCAGCTGCCCTTGCTGTACTGCTTCCCAATTGGTTTCCAGTTCTCTAAAGTGAGGCACCCTGCACCCTTCCAGAAAGATTGGACAGTGGGAGCTGCCGTTAATGTGGCTGTAGCAAGACTGGCACTTGGGAGAACGGGTGGCCTGTTGGGTCATTGGTGGGGGGCATGAGACTGGCTGGGGAGCAGGATGCCACGAGAGAGGATGCAGGTTCCTGACCTGCTCACTGCCTCTTCTGCCAGGGAGCTCGAGGACTACATGAGTGACCGGGTCCAGTTTGTGATCACGGCACAGGAGTGGGACCCTCAATTTGAGGAGGTGAGTCCCGGGGCGGGGGCGGGGCGCAGGGCAAGGGAGACCCTGGTCCTTCTTTTTATCACTTCCAGCCCCCTGCTCACATGTTTCCATGTGTCACCCTCCCCTTTTCTCCCACAGGCTTTGATGGACAACCCCTCCCTGGTATTCGTCCGTCCCCGGTGGATCTACAGTTGCAATGAGAAGCAGAGGTTGCTTCCTCACCAGCTGTATGGAGTGGTGCCCCAGGCCTGAGTCTAATAAAGATTATTTGGTTTTGGAGTAACTGGCTTTTCTTGCTGGAGAGTCTCCCAAAACTTCCAAGAGGCTCCCAGCATTTTGTCTGATGTTTGCTTTTTTGCTTCTCCCCTGAGGGCTAGGTCTCTGTACCTTCAGACTGCTGTCCTCATGTCCTGGAAAGAATGGGGGGCCTCTGGTGGGGAAGGAGTTCTTGCCTCTTATCACTGACCCCTCACCCCTCTCATGGCAGGGGGCAGGGAATTGTGAGTTTGACTCAGCTGGATCTGACCCTTTGAACCTATTGTGGTGCCTAGACCCTGGTTCTGGGTCTAGAGGCCTGGCTGCTTGTGAGATATCCTCTCATGAAGTCTCAGCTCTCCAGGGCCAGGATCACTCCCTGTTTTCTAAGACGAGTCAAGAGCCACCAATCTCAGCCCTTCCCTTTCTCATCTCTGAGAGGCTGCGTTACCGACTGCATGTTCTCACTCCGCACATGTACTGAGCAATAACTTTACCATGGCTGCTGGCACCAGTTAACTGCAGCTATGTCACCGAACAGCAAGAATTAATCTTACAGGCCTGGAGGTCTGAAAATGGGTCTCATGGGACTAAAAGCCATGGTAGTGGCAGGACTGCATTTCTCCTGGAGGCTTTAAGGGAAAATATGATTCACATTCCATTGCATGTTCACAGCTGGCAATGGAGGTTCCCCCCCACTGCTGTGTCACTGACACTGGTGCTTTCTCATTCGCCCATCCTTAAAGAGCCTTGTGATGACACTGAATCCACCTGGACGATCTGAGGTAATCCCCCTTTGAAGGTCAGCCAGTTAGCACCTATAATCCTCTGCTATCTCAATATTTGTATGCTACGTGGTGTGTTCATAGGTTCCATTAGGATTAGGATATGGGCATCTTTTGGAGGGCATAATTCTGCCTACTTACCTTGTGTGTGAAGACACAAGTGTCTGCTCATAGGGATGACATTCTGGGGGATGAGAGGCAGTAAGGGCAATGACAGATGCCATTGAAGTGACTCAGACACAGTTCCTTTGCAACTTTGTCTAGACCAGGTTCTCCCCCACCCTGATACTCAAGTGTATCTGAGCACCTCAGATGTCACTGACACTCCCCAAGTACCATGTTCCTGCTATGCATCACCCTAAGGGACCCCCCTAGAGCTCCAAACTAAGGTTTTCCCAGAGCTACTAAGGTACCTGTTTCTAGTTATCTTCCCAAGTGATGACTCTATAATCCCACAAGTTACCTCTCCTCCCTGATTCTCCTGTAGTTTCCTGAGCCCTAGAAATTATCACTGAGGGCCCTCCAAAGCCAATCAGGAAGATTACCCAAAAACGACCCAACTGGTCCTGGCCCTGGGCTCTCAAACTTTAAACCTAAGATTCCCTCAAAATACAATTCTCAGCTCCAACTCATGGAAAATGCCACCTTATTGCAGTGGACCCAATTCGGGAATAGGCGGGACCGCTTTCACCAGCTCCTTTCATCACTGATTTCTGGCAGTGGGCCCAATTCGGAATGGGAGGATCAAAAAAAAATAGGACCTAAAGCCCGCGGCTCTTCAATTCAGCCCCAGGGAGGGACATTTTAGCTGAGCGGGCGTGTCTGCAACTCTCTGCCACGGGAGGGGCCTGTGAGCCGCCTGGGCTGGATTTCAGGTGGAAGTTTTACCGCGCCCTTGGCTTAGCATCAGTCCATTGATGTTTCGTGAACCGTTTTATTCTTGCCGCTAAATTTCATTCATCCCTGGCGCAAAACTGAGCCTAGGGAGGAAGTCAGTGGCTTGTGTTGCGATCCAGAGACATTGCCCCAATGGACTTTTCCTTTGGGTCGCAAGCGTCCGGGTCGTAATTCAACCCTCGGGAATCATGGCAATCAGACATCGATGTACCTACCCTACCAAGGCTCAGGCACCAACGCTGTCCCCCCCTGTCACCCCCCCCCCCCCGGAACCTATCAGGATCCCAATCGTAACCTCTCCTGGCGTGCAGTTCCCACCCACTTGGAAGACACAGGCGTTTGGGCCCGGACTCTGCCCCAGCTCACCGAAAAACAGCCCCTCCCCGGGGACAGGCTTCCCGCGGTGACCGCAACGGGTAATGAGCTGCCCTCTGAAGCCTCGGAGGCCTCCCGGCCCGAGACCCCGGGAGGACAGAGGAGGGAGCGCGCAGGAGCCGCTGGCCCCAGCCTCATTTCCATTCCCTCTACACACAGCAGAGGGGCAGAACGCACGCACATTCGCGACCCGGGCTCCTGCGGGGGTCACTGCTTGGAAGGAAGGAGGGGGTGGGTACACAGTACAGGGAAGCTGAGTGAGCAAGCGCAAAGCTTTGGACCAAAGTGAAACGCACAGGCTGTTTGCGCTGGCCTACGGTGGCTGACTGGAGTCAAGCACGTGCAGGAGTAAACACCGAGAAACTTCTCTTAGACGTCACCGAAACAGCTTCGAGCGTAACACGTCCCTTTCCTGTGTCCTCTTTCTTTTCCACTGGGAGCCTGAGTTCTGTCTCCACAGGCAGTTTCCAGAACCCACCGTTTCAAACGCAGTCTAGGCGTTTGCAAAAAAGCCCGTTCTTTTCTTAGAGGGTGGGGACGGACTGCAGACCCAGAGCGAGGTGACTCCCAGTAAAAGGCACATTTCGTTATTGGATGGATGAATCAGCAATCTTAGCCCCTCCCAACTCAGCGAGGCCGGAGCTGGGACGTGCAGGGTGCGGAGACCAAGGCAGGTGTCTAGGCTGGTGCTCACCCAACCTCTTGCTGGAGTTCCTGGTGCCAGCTGCTCACCCACCCTCTTGCTGGTGTTCCTGGTGCCAGGCCCAGGGTGGCGCCCTTTCCTTGGCAGCGATGGTGTACTTTCCCACCCACCACAGGAATGGACATGAAGTGCCCATAAAAGTCCCCTACTAGGGTGGGTCTTCAGCCTTTTACTGGTGAGTACAGGGATCCGTGGGAGTGTTATGCGTGGTTGTTTGGACCTTGGAGCCAGGTTGCCTGGTTCACTGGTTAGGAATCTTGCCCCTGCAACTTCTTAGCTGTGTGACTTTGGGCAAATCATTTCATCTTTCTGAGGCTTTATTTCCTCATTTGTAAAACAGAGGAACTTTAGGGGCCTCCCTGGTGGCGCAATGGATCAAAGCGCAGCGCTAGTATCCTTGTCACTGCTGCAGCACAAGTTCAATGCCCAGCCAGGGAGTTGACCCACATGACACAGCGGACCTCTCTTATCTCGCCTGCTGCTCCCCTCAGTAATGTACTTCATCAATCTGCCTGTTCTGCTCCCTGATCTGTCTCTGGCTAATCCTCTCACTGCCCTTGCACCTCTGGCCTGTACCCCAGTTGTGTATGCATGAATAAATAAATATTTATAAAAATAGAGGGACTTTAGAATCAATTCAATAGCCACCGAAAGTATTTAGAACAGTGCTCAATAAATGTTACCAATATTATGTTTTGTTTTAATTGTGCATAGAACTAAGTCTCCGTGAGGTCAAGGATGTCCCAGGAACAGCAAGTGCTCAGACTTGGCGTAGGTAGGAGCATGATGTGTTTCAGGATCTCTCTGTCATATCCCGTCACACCATGCTCTAACCCATCCACCTTCTTGCCAGTTGTGATACGTGGCACGGTGAGTCCTAACTCAGAGTCTTTGCACTCTGTCCACAGCCCATTCTCCATCACTCCATCAATTTGCCTGAGCCCCCCCTTAGATCTCAGCTCAAACATTATTACCAGAGAAGGCCTGCACTGCCACACTAGTTCATGGAACTGTAACAGGTACAGGCTTCATGGACTCCGCCCCTACTCCAGATGCTGGAACTCCAAATCCCATCAGTACCAAGAAGAAGCACGCTGGGACGTGAGGGCGGAGCTGAGCAGCCAGGTTGGGATAAAACCGGACATGTGGGCTCTGGGGGACCCTGGTGGTTCGCAGCTGATCGTTTTGGCGCTCCGTCGGTTTTCAGCGGCCGGTGGAGTCCAAGTCAGCAGAACGGGTAGGACATCCTAGTTAACCTGTGTTTCTCTCCCTCTTTCCCTGGGTTATTCCTTTACCTTTCTCCTTATAAATAAATCCATTATTTAACCTTTTGAGTGTGTCCATAATACGATGGAATCGTAAGCGCAAGGGTGAAGACCCACAGACAGGCAACCCAGTTCACATTGGGGTGCCCTGGAACAGAACCTCTTGTTACAGTTACTTCCCTTGTTACTGTCTCACTCACCCTTGTATGCCTTTCACACCTAATACCTGTCTTCTAGAATGTATGCTCTGTTAGGATGCAGATTTAGCACCCCCATCTAATGGAAGTATTTTAAAGTGAACATTTTGTCTAGAAGTATTCATCCACAAATATTTCAGTCTGTCTCTCTAAAAATAAGGACAGTCTCTCTTTTAAACATGACCATGATATAATTCTCACATCTTTCAAATTTTAGAGTTGTTGCTTCCTGCTATCATATATTTCATCAGTGTTAATATTTCTCCACTGGTTCTCACTCTCTCCTTTTCCAAGCACAATGTTTTATTTTATTACAAGCACTCAGAAAAGTCAGAGACTGATAGAAATGATCTCTGCATTTATAACAGAATTGGCTGGCAATAATAATTATCCAATCATGGCCAATGTTTCATTTACCCTCTCCTCTCCAGTATTTAAAGCTATATGTCACCGCATCCTATATATATTTTCTTATTATACTTGGTTTGTTTGAATCTGGTTCTAAACAAGATCCACATGTTGCATTTGTTTACTATGACTCTTCAGTTCCTTTTTCATTGACATTGCATGGGGACAGAAGGTAGGTAGATGGAAGCCAGAAGCTGGGAAAAGTGGCTATTCTATACTCATTATACTATTAATTATCAGCATTTTAAATTATCACCAGAAACTGTCTTAAATGCTTCTATGTGTTAATTAACTTAATCCTGACAGCAACTTTTTAAGAGATGCTACTATGATCCTCTGTACTATATCTAACAGAAGAGGAAACTAAGGAGCAGTCACACCCGCAGGA